TTCCCTTATCTCCTCATTTCTTGTAAATGGCACCATTGATAAGTGCTCAGAGATGCCACCTCCCGTGAAGGGCTCTATATAGATGCAAGTTGCTGTTATACATTAGATACTTAATTCTTGGAGAATCATACAAATATATAATATATAATAATCCTTGCATTTGATATAGCGCTTTTCACGTTTTCTCGACATCTCAAAGCGCTTCACAGAATAGACTGTAAAGTGAATTGACTATATATTTGTGGGCGAAACGCGGCAGCCAATTGCACACAGCAGTGTCCCACAAACAGTCGTGGATTGAAAATGACCAGTTTATTATCGTTTTGTTTTGGAGGGATTATTATAACCCATGCTCCACATGGTTTTAGAAAATCTAAGTGTTGCAAACTGGTTTGAGAGCAACACATGATCATCAAACAGTATGGGAGCTTTAGGTGCAAAGTCTTGAAAAGGTAACCACTTTTCTGCTAAGAATTAATTACTTTGCTTTCATTATATCAGAACCGTAGAAAGTTACAGCACACCATCAGCTCATATTTTCCGTGCTGTAGTTTTCACTCAGACACCCTGATCTAATCCCACTCTCCTGCTTGCTCCATCACTGTTTAATATTTCTCTTTGTTGAGCATCTCATCCAATTCCATTTAAAAACAATTTATGGATGACTCGCATTTTACAACAATTTGCATTTAATATAGCGGCCTTCACGTGGAGTAGCATCTCAGAGCCCTTAACAATGGCATAGTTGAATGCTGAGCTAGGGAGAAAGCAGAGGTGAAGGTAGGCACGGTGGAAGAGGAAAGTCTTCAGGTGCAATCGGAAATGTGGCAAAAATGGGGAGGAATTGAAGCAGAGAGTTCCAGATTCCAACCACCCGGTGTCACAAAATCTTTTCTTTAATTCTTTGTGATCATCTTGAATTTGTGCCCTCTGCATTATCCACTTGCCAACCAATGGAAATAATCTTATATAATAATGCTTGTATTTGATTATTATTCCACCATCGGTGGCTGCACTTTCAGCCACTATGCCCCGAAACTCTGGAACACTCTTCCTCTATTGTACTGGAAGACCTTCCTCTTCAACCGTGCCTACGGTCACCTCCCCCCCTCCCCCCGACTCAGCGTTGTACTCCACCACTGTCGAGCTCTTGGATGCTATCCTGCATAAAGGGCATCATACAAATGCAAATTATTGTTGTTGGGGTTGATATAGAGCCTTATCTCTTGTCAAGATGTCTCAAAGCACTTCACAGAATACATTGTAAAGTGGATTGACTATGTATTTACCTTTTATTTCAATCAGGTCGCTTCATAGCCTCCTCAGCTCGAATGAAGAAAACTCCAGCTACTACAGGTGGTTGATGTCGCTTTGATAAAGTTGATCATCCGCTCACCAACTCTGTCTTCCATTGACTGTGTCTTCCTCAATACCCTTGGGCCCACTCCACAATGGTCAGGAGTGAGACTGGGATCATCCAAAAAACAGAATCCAAATCCCTTGTGTAAAGTGAAGGAAGTGATTGAAAGTGAAAGGCGTTATACAAATGTAACTTATCGTTGCTGTTGATGGCTGGGAGCCACTGGAACCTCAGGACAGGAGTAAAGCGAAAAATCTCCCAACAGGAGACAGCCAGTACCCAGGTACACCATGAGGCAAGAAGCTAGTACCTGTTGATCAGTTGAAGAGCCATCAGATCACAATCCGGACAGAAACCTGAAACACTCATAAAGGATGAGTTGTTACTGGGATTGTGGCCAAGATGCTCACACTTGGGAAGTCCAGAGTAATCCTGGAGGTTTATAATAAATAATAATAATAATCCTTGCATTTGATATAGTGCCTTATCATGTCGTTGAGACATCTCAAGGTACTTCACTGAATATTTTGTAAAGTGAATTGACTGCAAGTTTTATGGGCGATATGCGGCAGCCAATTGCACACAGCAGTGTCTCACAAACAGTCATGGATTGAGTGACCAAACTTTTTATTTATTTTTAATTTGAAGGGATTATTACCCCCAGAAAAGCGATCCACCATTCGACTAACAACTGGATTCTGACCTACTTCTAGGTAAACAGAGGTGTGTGGAGTAAGGAAACTAATCCCTTCAAATTAAAAATAAATTAAAAGTTTGGTCACTCAATCCATGACTGTTTGTGAGACACTGCTGTGTGCAATTGGCTGCCGCATATCGCCCAAAAATAGCGATGCCATTAAAATATATTTTTGATTGATTCGATCTGGCAATTGATGAGAACAGCAATCAAAATTAAGTTAACCGACTTCAGATGTTCCAGGTGACCCTAGCATCTGTTGTGATGCCGTCCCACTGATCTGTAATGGTTGGCTACAGATACAAATAGCAGAAACCCTGGAAAGATGTGGCAGATTGTACATCAACTGTAGATTTCTTAGGGAGGTCACGCAACTTCTGTCAAACAGAATTTGGTCTGGATAATTCACAATCTGCATAGAGCTCCACTTAACACTTATAAGAACATAAGAATTTGCTTGGCCAAGGTCTATCTAGTTCACAGTCCACCATCCTGGCAGTCACTTGTGTCGTATCCCAAACTATATATTGAGATATTATTTTCTAACAGAAACCTATCTTGAAACAAACAACGCTTTCTGCTTCCACCGTCCCCCTAGGGAGCCTGTTCCATAAGTTTTCATACTGTTCCATATGGAGCAAGCCCTCCACCGCCTTGCTCCTCTCTACCTCTGTGACGTCCTAACCCCCTATCAACCTGTCTGCTCATTTCGCTCAGCGGGCTCCGGCCTGTTTCACGAGCCCTGCTTTGCCTGGGCCTGCAATTGAAGTGGGGTAAATTCAGAACAAATCTGCGGAAACACCATTATTGGCCACAAATCATTCACTCAGGACAAAGAAAGAAAAACACACTAATTACAGTTTTTTTTGAATGAGCACATTTATTCTGATTATAACTAATTTAGCCACTATTTTGTCCCAAAATACCAGATTTTTCAGATTCAGGGATTCAGTCAATAAGTATTTACACTTGTGCAGTCACCAGTTTCAGAACTATTGAAGGTAGGTAGGGTAGTGGACATTAAAATCCATTCAACATATAAATCACCATATTCAATTTACTGAATGCACTACACAAAACGTTGGAAACAGCTGTGCCAAGCGTCCAAATGTGACATAGGCAAAACTCAAATAACTTAATGGGGCTTTGCATGATATGTAATAAAGATCATTGTACAAGCTATATAAACTATTTTATCAAACCCAGCCTTGCTTTTCACTGTCCACAAGTGCTCCTAAACTACTAAAGAAACTTAAAAATAAAAGAAAAAGAAAATCCACCAATTTTTTTTCTTAGTCATAAAAAAATAAATACAGGTTAAGAAAACTGCTGTTATTTGTACATTAAGAAAAATATTATTGTTAGGAGCAAATGATAAATCATGACATTTACATTTACAAACTATACTTTTTTGAAAAAAAATCGATTAACATTTAATGAATATTAGATTTTTAAAAAAAATAAGCTGTGGATTTGTTTTGGTCCAATTTAGACATTTAAATGATACACATGGATCACTGGATTTAAGACGAATATTTTTTAATGCCTGTTCAAGTTGCAAAAGCTATTAGACTACCTTTGCACAAAATGGTGCCATTAAACCGGATAAAAGTTTGGAAAATAGGGCAGATGCACTTACAGGAAGAGGATAGCAATCTTTAGGCAGGTTTTACCCACAGCTCGGCAATGCTCTACACAGTATTTTTTTATTGGTGATCAAGGTTAGACCTGCTCACCCCCATTAACTGAATTAGACCAAATACATTCCACTTAGGGAACGAGAGTTGTCCCCACAGACAAGCCCCAATTGCCCCCACCCCACAACCCCCACCCCCAACTCTTCTAGGCCCCGAATTGTTTAAGGACAATGCAGTCCTGAAACCTGTCTTCATGACCACCTGAGCAAATCAGGTGACTGAGTCACCTCTCTGGCAGGGCAACGCCAGCCAGGCCTGAGCCTCGTGACCAGGTACTCAAGTGAGCTGTACACTTCAATATCTCTGCTTCCTCTAATGAGGGCAGATCACATGCCTCTGATAAGAAGTGCTGCAATACCAATCCCAGCCAACAGAGGTCTGAAGGCAGAGCTGTTATCAACTCAAACCCTTCCCATAATCCTGACCATTGTGGGTGAGATTTTGCTGTGCTCGCTCTTCATAGACCAACCTCAGCAGCAGAACGTTTCTGGGATTTGCTAGTTCAACAAGTAAATGATAAAAACAGAAAATGCACTTGATTTCAGCCAAAAGGCAGAGAAAGGATTACTGTGTCGTAGTAATACTACAAATGATTACTACTACACAGTACTTTTTACTGGGAAAAGCAGCTCCTTTCCTGCTTCTTGAGGCATCTTTCACAAACAGATACAAAGAACATATAAAAGATAACATAACACATTCACACCTCATATGTGTAGTACACTGTGGCTAAAATTGAAGAGATTAGCCTTTTACACTATTCTATTCAGATCGTATTTCCAAATTATCAATACTCAACATCCACACATCAGTATTTTCTAAATTCATATAGAACTTTATAACAAGTTCCATGGTGTATTTTTTTAAGATGCAAAATGAAAGGTAGAGACACATGTTAAAAATTTACAGGACCTATAAACATTTAAATTAACTTGGACAGTAGACACTGGGGTATGTGAACACGACCTAGGTAGGTGATCAGATTTTGTTTTTAGTTGTAGGCTTATAAAACAGAGATCAATATTTAAAGCAGCATTTTTTGTGATTATTCACTTACAGATCTGCAATTTTGTGCACTAGTAGACAGCTACTATCCAACAGCACAATGGGGTGCTTCAGAAGTCACTTGCCTTTCCATAGAACATCACAACATAAAAATAATTTTGCTTACTGTTGATAAATGGCAAGGAATTGATAAAACATATAAACATAAACTCCTGAAATGCCTGAGAAACAAACAATGGTGCACATAAAATGTATCATGTTTAATGGCACTGTTCAATTAATGACAAGGGTATTTTTTTATCTCTCTCAATCAAAGGTGAAATAAACAAACATTGGCAATGAGGAACTGGATTCAAGGGCATCAACTGATTAATGCCAGCTATTATACGATCATACAGTTCTTCCATGCTCTACCCCCTGAATGTCACAAATACCTCTCCAAGCAGCTAACAAACTGAATTAACAACAATTGAAACATCAGGCAACACATTCAATAAAACGGCTGAAATCAGACTAATATGCTAACAATCTTGCTACATATAAAATTTCTAAACAATAAGAAGCCGATGGTACCAACCTCTAAAACCAATAAGATATGTACACAGGTTTAGGTATATTAACAAATAGAATATTACAAAATATTGCGAAGGCAGCTCTTGTTTTCACTTGAAGTTAGCGTAATCCGAAAACGCATCAATGTATTCTTGCACCACCTTGTAGCAGAATTCATACTGTTCCTGCAGAAGAAATAAATATCTTTAGTTCAGTTTTAGTTGCAAGGCATTTGCTTTTGAATCGCTACATTAAGAATACTAAAACTATCCTCCTTGGGTGGGGTTATGCGGGGTGAACTGGCTCCAAGGTGACATGCCTGGCAATGGAATGTCGGAATCGAGTCAGGCCTCTGTGGTGGTCTCGGAAGTCCGCTTCCTGAGCCAGACGGGTCCACAGTATTTCAGGGCACTGCTGATGACAGCAGTCATTGGTGGCAGGGAGTCAGCCGACTCATCTCCTGTTAACACTCCAAGCCAAAGCCCTAATGCAATAAAAAAAAATTGGTGCTATCATAAGCTTTGACACAACAGGTGACAAGAAGACAAACTAACCTGGTGTAAAGCAGGGCTGAAGATCCATTGGAGCGCTTACCACCTTCGTGTATGTAATTTAGTTTACAATACTTACCAGTGTCTGCACCATATGTGGCCTCTGTAGTCGGAGACTTTTTACTGTTTGAAATACGTCCAGGATGCCCTCAGCTTTTACTCTTTCCAGCACAGTGCTCAGAGCACAGAACGTTCCTGTCCTCCCAGCTCCAGCACTGAGAACACACATGCAAATTAATGCTTTAAAGCAAACATTGAAAGTATTGCTCAGTTTACAAACCACGGCCAAAAGTGGCAAGTGGCCGAACACCAACAACAAATTACATTTGGATAGTCCCTTTCACGTCAGGAGAGGCAAGAACTAGGAAGCTAATATGTACTTTTCTTCAACTAACACAAATCAGTCAATAGAGCAATGACCCCCCCCCCCCCCCCCCCCCACACACACAAATGTTAACGGTTATCATTATTTCGTTGCAGAGTTTGATTTTCTTCAAAACAAAAGGAGAGGGCGATTTATTGTTCAGCACTATTATCAGTGATAAACCTGAACCTTTTCCAAATTCAACTAGTATTACAATATAAATTACATTTATATAGCGCCTTTAAAATTAGGAGCAAGTCTCAAATGCTTCACACGGGCTGGGCACCTGAGGGGAAAGATGATGAAAAGCACGGTGAGAGTTCAGGCTTCAGAAAGGCTAATGTTTCTAAAGCTTTCATTTATCATGCACTTCGGGCATTTATTCTAGAGCTAAACCTGGACTCTTCAGTATGGTGGAGAATAACAATAACGTGTTCCTAGCGTATTTAGCACCTTTTACTTTAAGAGAACATGTCAAAGCTCTTTACAAAGATGGACGGAAGCCAGAGCTGGTGGTGGTGGGGGAAAAGTGGCTGAAAACACAATCAAAGAAGTAGGTCTTCAGGAGGGATTTGAAAGCAAAGAGAGAAAGGGAGGCATGGATGGGATTTGGGAGCCACGAGGGAGGAAGAGCCTGAAGGTTTGACTGCTGATAATGGGACAGAGTGGGCAGGGAACATGAACTGGGTTAGAGTCAGTAGAATATAGGAGGTAGCCAACAACAACTTGCATTTATATAGCACCCCTCATGTAGGGTAGCTTCCCAGAGGCCAGGGTGAAAGGGTCGCAGGAGAACCCTGGGATAAGGTGCTGCAAGGACATGGGAGACATTTGAAACTGAGAACGAGGATTATAGGATCTGCTGGGGGATAGGGAGTTAGAGGAACCCATTAAGGATGGAGGTGATGGGTTAGCGGAGCCTCGTGCGGGAGAGGATATGTGGGATTCTGAATGGTCTATTTATTTCTGATGCTTTACTTAGCTTGTTTAAACTCCAGGAGTTACCCCAACACATAATCTGGGATCCGCAAACCTTGGCTCTTGCCAACCTGCGCTTAATACTTCCTGGAAATCAGGCAAACAGGATGCATCCCTCCCGCTTGGGACAGAATGTGTACTCCTTTCCAGACATAGGGAAAATTCCATGTATACGTGGAATATGTATATGGAACACTCAGACTGATTTGGATACTCTTAAGCACGGTGATGGGTTTCTGCATGTGTCAGATGCCGACTGACCAAACAAATTCTGTACAGATGAGTGTGTCTATATTTGATGATACTGCCTGCAGCATACCACTCAGTGGTTTGTGGTTTACCTGCAGTGCACTGTTATGGGGTGGTTCCCCGACTGTTGCTGTTGTTTCTGCACAGCTGCGATCAGGTTAATCATGCCTTTCCCATCAGCAGGAATGCCCACTTCAGGCCAGCCATGAAAGTGGAACTGCCTGATTTGTCGAGTCTTGTTCTCCTTAAAAACAACAAGCAGATTGCACTTATTAAGGAGTCACATTTCTGTGCAAAAGCCACCACCAGTTGAGTAACTATTCCCAGCTTTCATTTTCAGGAGTCGGACAGTTAGGATGCAAGTTATAAATCGGCACCTATTGGGCACTTTATCTTACTGCATTTTTGCAAATTATTTTTATGATCTAGACGAGGACATTGAATGTAACATCCCTAAATTCGCGGATGACACAAAACTAGGTGGGAGAGTAAGCTCTGAGGATGATGCAAAAAGATTGCAATGGGATATAGATAGGCTAGGGGAGTAGGCAAGTAGATGGCAGATGGAATTTAATGTGTGGAAGTGTGAATTTATTCACCTAGTTAGAAAAAATAGAAAAACAGATTATTTTCTAGAGGGGGAGAGATTAGATTGTGGTAGTGTTCAGAGGGATTTGGATGTCCTTGTGCACCAGTCTCAAAAAGTTAGTTTGCAGTTGCAGCAAGCAACTAAGAAGGCGAACGGCATGTTAGCGTTCATCGCAAAAGGTTTAGAGTACAAGACTAGGGAAGTCTTGCTGCAACTGTACAGGGCCTTGGTGAGACCGCACCTAGAGTATTGTGTGCAGTTTCGGTCTCCTTATTTAAAAAAGGACATACCTGCCCTAGAGGGGATGTAGCATAGATTCACTCGGTTAGTTCCTGGGATGAGGGGACTGACCTATGAGGATAGGCTGAATAAACTAGGGCTATATTCTCTAGACTACAGAAGAATTAGGGGAGATCTTATTGATACATATAAGATTCTTAAAGGGCTGGATAAAGTAGACACTGAGGGTCTGTTTCCCCTGGTAGGAGAATCTATAACCAGGGGTCACAGTCTTAAAATTAAGGGTCAGCCTTTTAGAACAGAGTTGAGGAAACATTTCTTCACTCAGAGGGTAGTGAATATATGGAATTTACTACCCCAGAAGGCTGTAGATGCTCAGTCCTTGAACATCTTCAAGGCTGAGGCTGATAGATTTTTTTTAAAAACAGAGGGATTAGGGGATATGGGGATAGGGCAGGTAATTAGAGTTAGGTCTGAAGATCAGCCATGGTCTTATCGAATGGCGGGGCAGGTTCGAGGGGCCGAATGGCCTACTCCTGCTCCTAATTCTTATGTTCTTATAATCCTTGCATCTGATATAGCGCCTTATCACGTCGTTGAGATGTCTCAAAGTGCTGCTCAGAATATATTGTAAAGTGGATTGACTGTGCATTTTGTGGACGAAACACAGCAGCCAATTGTGCATAGCAGTGTCCCACAAACAATCGTAGATTGAATGACCACATTTTTGGGGGGGTGGGAGAAGGGATTCTAATCCCCGGAATCCACCAACCGACTAATAAACGTGTTCCTACTTACAGCTAGGCAAACAGAGGCGTGTGGAGTAAGAAAACTTGCCTAAGCTTTTGCCCCATCTGGGAGTCAAACCTGAGTTCTCTGGCTTGTGAGACGAGCGTTCTTAACCACTACGCTACAGGACTCCGTAATTATAGTATTTATGACTGCCAAAATAACACATTTTATTCTGTTAGCGATACAATGTCTGTTGTCCTACATGTTAAGAATTGTACTTTGTGTTTGGTACCCCAATCTATTGACAAGGTCAAAGCTCACCCTTGTGTTTGTTACAAACAGATCACGGACAGTATAACTTTCACTCTCCTCTTCCTTTTTGATTTCAATAGAAATATCACCGTGGGAAACAGATCCTTCAGAAGGCCAGTACTGGGCACACTTCTCCTGTGGAGATACAAAGACAAATTATTAATATAAAGAAAGAATTTAAATAAGTAATATGATTTTCTTTTAACCCTCCCCTCCTGGGAGGGGTACATGGTAAAGCTCTCTTTTGAGCTACTGTGGAGTTTTCTTGTCAGGCTTTGTATGTTGATAATACTACTTGTATTTGATTTAATGCTTTATCACACTGTCGAGAATGCCTCAAAGTACTTCACAAAATATACTGTAAAGTGGTGCGACTGTGTGTATTTTGAGGGCAAACATAGTAGCCAATTTGCGCATAGCAGTGTCTGACAAATAGACATGGAGTAGGTGACCAATTTTATTTGGAGAAATGTTAGTCAAGACTGACATTTGGTTTGAATGAAGCATCAGAAGTTGGCCTGGTCACCACAACGATCTGACTCCCAACTATCTGAAAACAGCCTTTAGTTATAAACAAATTAGAAACCCATTTTTAAGTGAGGTGGGCTGGATCACCAAGAAAATGTTGCCACTAGTAGAAGCATAGAGAAATGAAAGCCATTGAGTACTCAATGGATCCTCATCCTCACCTACAAGGCCATTCACGGCCTTGCTCCCTCCTACCTCTCCGACCTACTATCCCCCTACCTACCTGCCCGTACCCTCCGTTCCTCTGGCTCCGGTCTGCTCCACATCCCCCGCCCCAACCGCCCTACCATCGGTGGTCGGGCCTTCAGCCTCTCAGCCCCCAGGCTCTGGAACTCCATCCCCCAGTGCCTTCGCCGCTTCCTCCCTCTCCTCCTTCAAGGCCGGTCTCAAAACCTTTCTCTTTGACCGAGCCTTCAGCTCCCCTCTCGACTCTCTTCCCCCTCCTCGCTCCCTCCCTTCCCTCCCCTCACCCTGACCATTTCCCCCCTCCTCGCTCCCTCCCTTCCCTCCCCTCACCCTGACCATTTCCCCCCTGCTCGGGTCATGACCCAACTGTGCAGCGCCTTGGGACGTCCTCCTGACGTGAAAGGCGCTTTATAAATGGAATCTTGTTGTTGTTGTTGTTGTACTTAGAAACAAAAACATTTGAAAAATGAGAAAATTATAGAGTATGGAATACAAAATTTAAAGGAGGCAGGAGAAAAGTGGTAGAGGAGGGGACAACAGAAAAAAAAGTACTGATTAAAATAGCGCAGGCATCCTAGTACTGAAAGAAAATTCCTACTTATTCATACAAAGACACATTTAGAAGACATCTACCTTGTTAATAATGATGCTACAAAAATTATAAATACATTTTAAAAGTCATAACTTGATAGTTAACCTATGGAGTGATAGGATAGTCAGATGTCAATGGTAGAAGTATCACATCCATGACATACCTGCCCTCTTTCTTCCAACTCTGTTAACATGACAATAGAGCATGATTTCCATTCCCATATCATTCTCCAGAAATCTTCTATTGTGTGCTGAAGAGGCCCTTGGCTGGCTATGTAAGAGTCCTTCTGTCGATATCCCTGGAACATAAATTATACACCATTGCAAACCAGTTTCCATCTCCAAATTAAAACTACATTTGAAAGCAGAATTCTGTTGACCAGAATAATGTTCAATCATTTTGGTGGCCTATTCCCTGAATTTCATTCAGAATTATTACACTGTAAATATAGCTGATGTGACAGCTAATACTTGATTTAACATTATGCAGGAAATATGGACTCCTGGGAATAATTAAGAGACATTGATCTAATGGATCATCGAAAGGAGATCATAAACACCAGGAGTTTAAGTGGTTTAGACACGTAATCTGAACCTCCGAATTATATTACAGTACAATGCTGAGTATATTGAGCTATTTATATAAAATGCCATGGCTTTGTACAGAAGTGGCTGTAAGCATCAATGCTGACCATTAGTGCACACACTGTCCTTGTGTCATATACAGCATTTAAGAACTTTGAAAGATTTCCAGGTCAAGGTCAATATCCATCACTGAAAGTACTTTTGTCTTAGGCACAAAGACAAACAGTCTGGAGGAGAAAGCAATTCAGCTGATCAGGCCTGTTTGACCAGTGTATTAGATTTTGAGAGATTTACCCTTAATACCTCTTGCAGATTAAATTCAGCATTCCATTGACAGAATCTAGGCAAAGTAGCTGGAGATACTAGCCCCCAAGTGCTGCAGAAAACAGCAACATCACTATCATTACTTGCCTGTAAAACCATTCAAATTTACTAACTTGCTTCAAGTACTTGTTGGGGTCTGATGATAAACCATGTGTACATTTTCCACAATTAGCTTTCGTTTGTTGAAAAAAAAAACATCTCCAAACATTTGTAGGTTTTCTTTTCAATGCTACTAATTAGCTAAACTAGCACTGTGTTGTCAGTCATGTCATCATCAGTGGAGTATTTCCACATGGATGGACTGGAGACCAAACAGAAGACTGTTGGGAATAATGGTTGTCTAAGTGCAGACAAAATAATCAATAGCTTATTTCCAGTTGTCAGGTAGGACAAAGTGTAATTACTACAAACTAAAACGTGCCTTTACTGCTACTACTAATATCCTGTGGGCAATAAATTTGATTGGGAATATGAACATAAGTGAAAGAGATCATTTTCAGTATACATTCCACTGCAGAAGCCGCTTAAGCTTCTAACAGAAGGCTCTGAATCAAACCTCTTCTTAATCATGACACACGGAAACAGGCGAAGCATTCAAAATGAGATCTACAGCCCAGCTATGAACTCAAACTTTTCATTGGATTATTTATTCATTCTATTTGATAGAATATTACTTCAAACATTTATAATTAAGGTTAGTTGGGTCTATCTTGTGTCGTGGTTGCCTCTTGCTTGCCAAGAATTGTAAGCAATATCATTAAACAATGTTGTTTCCATCATTTCCTCACCCACCCTATTAATTATCCGAGTTTAAAAGGTGTAATTCCTCGTATACTTTTATTAATCTTTTTATCTGACTCCCTTGGTGTGCCCTCCCTAAACTGATCTAGATTAGCAATAATCAACGGCAGTACTGAAGTCCAATTACATATTTAGAATAAAAAGCACCTGGGTTTCATCAACATATGCTGACAGAAATGAGAGCTTTAGCAATACAGAAGAATGCAGAATGAATACTCAATTACACACTGAGACAAGAAGTTATAAAAACTCACATCAATAAAGGATGCATTCACATAATCTGTGTTCTCTTCACCTCTTTTCACAGGGATGATCACTCTATTAAACTCATCTGAAATTAATTACAGGAAACCACATACGTTACCACAGCATCCTTCAGTCAATCAAACAAAATAAATATTTGCTTAAACATAATCTTTATTCTCAAATTTCTGCATATCATTACCATTTGGGAACTCTAGTACTTTAGCACTTTTTACTTGAAGCAACATGCTATGATGATTCACGTGCATGCTTCATGTCCATTAAACTAGGCAGGCTGATTCAAACTCAGCACTCTTATTTTATATAAAAAATATAGTACCACTTCATAGTGAATTCAGATAATAACAATCCTTGCATTTGGTTTAGTGCCTTATCACATCATTGTGACATCTTAAAACTCTTCACATAAGATATTGTAAAGTGTGTAAAAATGCTGTGAATTTTGTAGGCAAAATACTGTCAGATATTGTTACCATCACTTGGAGGTGTACAACTCTGGGAAGACGCCATACAACAACAAGATTTCATTTATAGAGCGCCTTTCACATCGGGAGGACGTCCCAAGGGGCTGTACGGTTGGGTCGGGACCCGAGCCTTGGGGGAAAATGGTCAGGGTGAGGGAAGGGAGGGAGCGAGGAGGGGGTAGGGAGTCGAGAGGGGAGCTGAAGGCACAGTCAAAGAGAAAGGTCTTGAGACCGGCCTTGAAGGAGGAAAGGGAGGAGGCGGCGAATGCACTGGGGGATAGAGTTCCAGAGCCTCGGGGCTGAGAGGCTGAAGGCCCGGCCACCGATGGTAGGGCGGTTAGAACGAGGGATGTGGAGCAGACCGGAGCCAGAGGAACGGAGGGTACGGGCAGGTAGGTAGGGGGATAGTAGGTCAGAGAGGAAGGAGGGAGCAAGGCCGTGAATGTTAAACCACAAAAGTTAAAATAATAATCCTTCCATTTGATATAGTGCCTTTCACATCAAGAGCAGGTTTGTAGTGACTGTATATTTGTAGTAAAGTAAAGTGGAATCAGAGTTGTTGTCCTTCGAATGAGACGTTAAACCGAGGTCCCATCTGCCTGTTCAGGCAGATGTTAAAGACCCCACGGCACTATTCAAAAAAGGGAGTTTCTCTCGATATCTGAGCCAACAAGCACCCAGATAAAATCGGACATTAACTTCACCGCTGAGACATTGCTGTATGCAAATTAGCTGCCATGTTCAACCAAAAATAGTCATTACACTGTAATTTCTGCAAACTCTTTGAGAGGTTGACTTTCTGATAAGGCTCTGTACAGAATCAAACGCAAGGATTATTATTATTTATCATGTTTTGATTCATAAATTCTTAACAAATCTCTTAATTCACACAAGTTGGAACATGGCCCAATAACATATTGAGAAATTTAAATTGTGTAGTTAATCACAGGAAATACATTCCAGCACTTTATGATCAAGCATGTTGATGCCCTGACATGCAGGAACCAGACTCCCGGATAGTTTCTTCTTAGATAATAATAATCCTTCCATTTTGATAAATGACAGAAGGGAATGTGTTGAAAGAGGAGGAGAGGGAAAGGACAAAAGAACAAAGGGGATCTTCACAGAGACAAAAGACTTCGGGAGAAAGTGAAAGTCAAACTTAGAAGAAAAACTGGAGACAAATGAGACAGCAAAAAGAGAGGAAGATTTACTTTGAATAAATTCAATCAGGTAGTCATGGAGAGCGAATCGGTAGCTGAAGCACTGATGGTCCCACTAATAGATACTGTTGCCCTTCACATTAGCTTTGATACATTCAAGTACTTTGATATTAATATGCAAAATACCCCTTGAAGTACATTCCTGAGTCGAACACTTGCAAAGTAACGCAGTTAATTTTGCAAAGTTGGATTGGAATGTTTTGTAAGCAGCAAATATTTGCACAGAATAACTACAATGCTAATGAAGGACATGAATAGTTTCTGTTACACAACTTAAATTGACTGAATGACTGCATGTTAATTCTGAGTACTAAACAGGGGGAAAAGGTTTCACAACTGTTCTTAACCCTGCAATGTTCAATCCCTCCACTAGAGGATACTGTGCATCACTAAATGCATGGCTTGAATTTTGCTGTTTCCTGGTTCATTTTGTTTATCAGCACAATTGCCTGGATGAAGTAAAGTCAATTCACTTGACAGTAAATTTTGTGAAGCACTTTGGGATTTCTCAGCATAGTGATAAGGCACTGTATCAAATGCAAGGATTATTATTATTATTATTATTGTGCTATTTCCTGATCTTACTGAGCAGGAGGGAGCTACAATTGGTTCATGAGCACGTGAGGGAAAAATCAGCCAGTCCCCAGCTCCTGGTTGTTATTTAGGGAGACCCGATGGAATGTGCTGTGTAGATAAGGGCAGGAACACGCTTAGCTAAGGCCCTTCACCATGGAATAGCCCATTAATACTCACTGTTTGAATTCAGATTGGCCATTTGACTAGACTTGACAAAAAGGCTCATAATACCTGCCTTGTTCTTCACTCACAAGATAGTCATGTGACAAGAGCAATTGGGAAAATATGTTTCATCGTACAAAATTTATAATTTAAACATTCAGAAACCGTGTCCATCTTTTTCATACATTCAAGCGATCTGGGACGCTGCCCAGCGTGAGGGGCGCTATAACAATGCAAGTTGTTGTTTGACAATTAGAAATTACATTTTTTCCCCTGTATTACCAAATACAGTCCTGTAGCTCAGTGGTTAGAGCGCTCGCTTTGCAAGCGAGAGACCTGAGTTCAATTCCAGGCAGAGGGCGAAACCTTGGGCAAGTTTCCTTACTCCACACAGAGCCTAATAATAATCCCTCCAAAACCAAAAACAATAATAAATTGGTCATTTTCAATCTACGACTGTTTGTGGGACATTGCTGTGCGCAATTGGCTGCCGCGTTCACCCACAAATATACAGTCAATTCACTTTACAGTGTGTTCTGTGAAGCGCTTTGGGACGTCCTCCCGACGTGAAAAGCGCTATATAAAATGCAAGGATTATTATTATTATTATTATTAACCATATTTCTGAGACAGAACTGATTGGAGGATATTGGATTAGCTGCAGATTACAACAACAACTTGTATTTATATAATGCCCTTCACGTGGAGTAGCATCTTGGAGCACTTAACAGTGGCTGAACCTGATGTAAATCATAGAATCTTACAGCACAGATGGGAGACTATTCGGCACAGCGTGCCGGCTCTTTGAAAGAGTTATCCAACTTGTCTCACTCCCCTGCTCTTTCCCCATGGCCTTGCAACTTTTTTTGTTTTCAAGTACCGATCCAATTCCCTTTTGAAAGTTATTATCGGATCTGCTTCCACCACCATTTCAGGCAGTGCATTCCAGATCATAACAACTCTGTAAAATACATTCCCCTCATCGTCTCTCTGGTTCTTTTGACAATTATCTTAAATCTGCGTCCTCTGTTTACCGACCCATTTGCCAATGGAAACAGTTTCTCCTTATTTGCTCTATCAAAACCCCTCATAATTTTCAAAAGAAAACCATACTGAGTTCTGGAGTTCTATTGTACCACTGTTACTGAGTTTTGACAAGTTTATATTTATGAATAATAGGTCTTACAAGGAATGATCTGAAGAACTCTGTTTTTTTTCATGTTGGCTGGCAAATTGCCTGTCCTCATCTTATCGTTTTGAATTTTGATGGAGGTCAATTTCTATGGAGGGAGGAGGAAAAACAAATTCAGTATCAGCACTAAAACAAATTCCACCTAAATAACATGCAAAGTGCAGCTCATCAGAAATGTCCTTTTTGAGAAGGATAAATATCACCAAACCTTTGTATGTGTCAGAGACAACTAGGTGATCATTTGTCATCACCGATCCATAAAAAAATCTAAAAAAAAAGATACTATTCAACAACAACAAATTACAAATTAAATTTGTATAGCACCTTTCACTTTCCAAAGCGCTGCACAGTCAAGGATTTGCACCCGAGCTGTCGTTTGGGATCAGGAGGGGTGGAGATCAGGTAGGGTGGAGATAGGATGGTGACCGAATGCATGGTTGAAGAGAAGGGTCTTAAGATTGGCTTTGAAGGGAGCAAGAGAAGGGACTATGGGACGGCATTCCAAAGGATGGGGGCATTGAGGTTGAAGGCTCGACCACAGATTGTGGGGTGGACAGGGCGGGGGACATGAAGCAGGCTGCAGCCCACTGAACGGCGGGAGCAGACAGGTTTTTGTACTGAACAAAAACTAGAAAAAAAATAAAAGCGGATCTCCACCAACTGTAAATATAAACATGCTTTGACATGTTCACACTCTGCAGAAATGTTAGCGTGAATTTTTTGGAAACCTTTTTTCAAAATAATGCAAACATTAAATACTGTATTTACACACTATTTATACAACTTGCATAACAGATCCTATGTTAATTTTTTTACTTGTTCTATAGCGTCACTATATTTATGATCGTGCTGTGGTAAAGTCTGTGTATCTCTTACCTTGAACTCTTCATCCAGACCATTGCCCCCCGACCCAGATACTTTGTTGTAAAGTTTCTGCAAGTGACATTCCAGCGAGGTTACTTCCAACTCTGTGTCTCCATATAAATAATGCTCCAACAACGCTTGGTATATAAACACGTACTGCATCTGTAATGAGACACCAACATGTTCATATTAGTGCTCCCTGGTGCTTGAAAAGCTTGCCGACAATAATGTCAAGGCTCATTCAATTGGACGAGGTACCTCAGTATACAGAGATATAATAATATACATGCAGTATAATCCTTGCATTTGATATAGTTTCTTATCACGTCGTAGAGACTTCCCAAAGTGCTTCACAGGATATGTTGTAAAGTGGAGTTACAGTGCATTTTATGGGCAAAAAGCGGCAGCCAATTGCGCACAACAATGTTCCACAAACAGTCGTAGATTGAATGATCACATTTTCTTTTTGGTGGGGGGAAGGATTATCATCTCCAGAAAGCTATCTGCCAATCGATTAACAACTGGATTTCTACTTCCTGCTAGGTAAATAGAGACACGTGGAGTAAAGAAACCTGCCCAAGGTTTCGCTCCGCCCGTGAATTGAACCTGGCCGATACCTCTCAATTGCGAGGCGAGAGTGCTAACCAGTATGCTATGTATTGCTAAGTATTTTATATTATATATTTTATATTACTGAAGAGGAGGAAAGGGNAAAAAAATTCTGCTCTTATTTTAAACAATGCAAATATTTGTTTTAGATTAGGGTTAATCTCTCAGTGAAAATACTATTGTATCGTCTGAGTAGTTTTATTACTGATACATCACTGCTTCCTTTAAGGATTACAAAGTTTGAGGTGAAATTTACAGAACTAGAATCAAAGAGATAGGGGTCTCTGCAGGCAGATCAGTTTCCGATTTAAGAGTTCAATGTTCGTGGATTCTAATGAATGCAAACAAATAAACCTAGAAATATTATCTTGGGGTTAAAACTTCTAAAAGGTGGACAGTAAAAACTAATTTATTAATCTCTATACCACATCCCATTTTAAACATTTACTCAACAATTAAAGGTACATTTTAAAAGTAAAACTAAAAAAGCGACTGGCACGCGGGAAGTAAGCGAACTGACTGTGCGTACGCACAATAAACGAGGTGCATAGGCCAACTGCATTATAAGTTAATTCACTGTAATGTAGCATGTTACAACTGGGCTGCATTGGGCTTAGCAAGTACTCATTATTACAGAGCTTTGAATACTTTAGTTTGATTAGGTTGCAATCGATAGGTATGCTCATCACCATACAATATTTTCATCCATTTGCACCCCTCACAATACAATACATACAGTATTCACTTATATAGAGCACTTTTCACGTGGCCCACAGGCTCATATTTAGATAACAGCATATTCATCTCTATGTTAACCTTGAATGAGTGAGGAATCATTAAATAAAAAAAAACTTCAAAATCGCTTTACACTCACATCTGTCTGAACCATCTGACATCGCTGAGCTCGGATTCGGGAAACAAATCCAAAAACATCCACTTTCCTTTCTGCATGCATCATGTCCAGCATGGCATCAATAACAATGAAAGTGCCTGTTCGACCCACACCAGCACTGAAAGATACAAAACATTGTCAATCTAGGGATTTTATATCCTTCAAAAAATATCTTATCAATTACATTTTCTCATCTTACTGTTATGTGACTGTTAACTCTGCAGGTTAAAGCTCTAACAAGTAGGGTATTCCCAGCTGGACAATCAGTGGGAAAGCTTGCCAGACATCAATATCAATGGCAAGCTATATGGTTTTAGCCGTTGTACCCCGGAGCCCAACCTTGGCTCTTGCCAACCAGCACCGAATACTTTCCGGTATTAGGTAAGTAGGATGTATCTCTCTGGAGAAAGACCGCGCATTCCATTCCAATAAATATTTCTGGAAGTTTCACGTGTATGGAATTCTCAGTGTGGCTTGGATATTCTTAATCACGGTGATGGGTTCCTGCATGTGTCAAGACACCAGGCTCACAAAAACAAGAATACTGTTCAGGATTTTCTCTGAAAGGCCTACGCTGATGGATGGGTTGAATTGCCCAGCTTGGTCTGAACTTCCCGGCCTGGTCTGGTTTCAGAAGCCCAACTTGTGACATTTTCTTCAGCCCATAGAGCTTCAACATATGGTTCCAGGTTGCCTGATATCTACATCACAGAACCAAGGAATTTAAAACAAATCCGGGAGAAGATGGGAAAAAAACTTGCTTTTGGGCATCACTGCAAGAAAAATCTCTCTGATATGCTTCGTTGTTTATTAATTTATCCTGTAAAATTCAAAATGCAATTAAATCAACCTAATGACTCCCTGTAACAGTTTTATTTACACCTATTTTACTTGTGATTTAAAAAATAAGTTCTCATTTTTGCTCAATTAAAGCTAAGATCTGGTTGCTGGATAGCACTCCACATAAATCATAAACATTATACTAAAGGAGGTGACTGACCAGTCAAGCTTAAGCTATTGTTATCTCTATCCACTGGAGCTGTGATGCCTTTTCAGTAACTGGGCATCCCCAACTGAATTTCGTACTCCAATTCCACTAACTAATGTTCTATATCGCTTCCTTGCTTTTATATTCAATGCCACAATACACATTTTTAAATATCCCACTTGCTCTTTTAATGTCTTTACACCTTCAAAGATCTATGCTTCTGATAATGATCCTTGCATTTGATATAATGCTTTTCGCGATAGAAGTACGTCTCACAGCACCACATTTACTGAGGTACAAATGATCACGATAACAGTGACGTCACAATAGTACTGTAGATTGAGACAATTCCAGACCCAGTAAGAGGATTGGAATAGGTTGGCACCAACTAAACTTCCAGAAGATTTGAGGAAGGTACTGGACACCAAACAAATCTCTCCTGGCACGAATGTGTTACTTTACATAATACATATAAATAATGCTCATCATATGCCTACGAACGATACAGAATAACACTATTGCAAAAGAGAAGGGAATTTCTCTTGATGTCCTGATCAACAATTCCCCAGATAAAATTAGTCATTTACTCCATGACTGTTTGTGGGATATTGTGTGCAAATTGGTTGTCGTGTTTGCTTACACAATATAGTAACTAAATTTTACGATGTACCATAATAAAAAAACACTATGTTAAATGCAAGAAATATTATTAGTTCCACAGCACTGAACTGAAGGGTCAGCCTGGACTGTGAGCTCAGTCTCAAAAGCTTGAATTTCCAGTGCCTTGTGATGTCCTACCAACGTGAATAATAAATAATAATAATCCTTGCATTTGCTATAGCGCTTTTCACGTCTTCTAGATGTCTCAAAGCGCTTCACAGAATTTGCTGTAAAGTGAATTGACCATATATTTGTGGGCAAAACGTGGCAGCCAATTGTGCACAGCAGTGTCCCACAAACAGTCGTGGACTGAAAATGACCAATTTATTATTGTTTTGTTTTTTGGAGGGATTATTATTAGTCGTGTGGAGTAAGGAAACTTGCCCAAGGTTTCGCCCTGCCTGGTGTCTCCCTTGCAAGGCAAGTGCTCTTAACACTGAGCTACAGGACTCCAAGACACTGAGCTACAGGACTCCAAGGTGAAAGGCAAATGTAATTTGTTATTGTTGAATTACATATGGCTGTTTTTGGACAATGCTGTGTGACAATTTGTTGCCATATTTTCCTACAAATACAGACAGTCACTAAACTTTGCTGATAAGCTCAGTGAAGCGCTTTGAGACATCTGACATGACAGCATACTATATCAAATATAAGGTTTATTTATTTGATATTACTGAACTCACAACCTTCTGACCTGCAGATAGCATGTTACTAACTGAGCCAAGCTGAAACCTATACTCCAGATTTCCAAATTAAATGTGACTTGGAAGCCTTCAATTTTTTAAAAATAATTCAACAAAATATTTCAATAATGGAAAAAATAACTGAAAGCAATGCCTCCCCTAAATTTTATTAATTCATACATATTATAACCATTAACTTACAACAGAAGTATAAGAGGAAAACAAAGAAAAATATTTCCCAAGCATATTAAAGGCAAAACCAACCTGCAATGTACGACTATGGCCCCAGCGAATGATGGGTTACAAGTTTTCACCTTCTTCAGAAATTTCAGCATACCAATGGGGGTGAATGGAACGCCAAAGTCAGGCCAGCTGGTAAAGTGGAACTGAGTAACCAGGCGCTGAGGTTTCTTATTGGTTACATCTCCCACCTGCAGGGAGAGAAAGAAAATAAACGAACAAACAAATGGGCGTCAACAACAACTTGCATTTTTATAGCACCCTTCATCCTTGATGGTGTTTCATAGCACTTGAATCAATCTTATCACATATGTGGTTGGCAGAGTTAATCATCATCTTCATAACCCTCAAACCAAACCTTAATGTGACTGACACAAGTATTTTAATGACTTTGACCCAGGGACACGATGAAGAAAAACAATTTGGATGCAAATCTTAAATCTGACACTTATAAAAGCTTTAAAAGAGTTTTTTTTTACTATAAGCCTATTTCTGGAATCCCTTCAGATATAATTCAGAAACTGTTTAATATTAATGTGGAAATTAGATACAAATTGCTGCTTCTCTGGAAAGGGTGTTATTCTCTAAGGAATGCCACAGGCTCTCTATGGCTAGATGAAAAAAGCAATTCCTACCATCAGAGAACAGGGAAGAGAGTTATGAAGGCTTCCTCATAATTTTACTGAACTAGATTTAGGTGGATTGTGTCAACAAAATAACCTCAGTTATAACAATACCATTTAAAACTAAAGTAGGAAAAGAAACAAAATTGTAGAAGATGCTTAAATTCAGGCTTAATTTAGAAACTGATCGTTTACAAGAACTAAAGAAAACGAACTTCCAAATTAACAATGTATTTAAGGATTTCACTATTTGCAGGTTCTTAAATTTTAAGATAAACACGTGAGGGGAAGTAGAATTTCAGGCTTCAGAAACATCCTCAGAGAAGAGAAAAATTATGAGTGCAATTTCCATGTTTGCGGGAAGCCAATTTAAGAGTGACACTGGGCTCAATTTGAGAGCAAGGACTATGCATTCCATGTTGTGCAAGAAACCATAGGAGTGGGTTCAACAAAGGAAGAAAAATGGGTAATCTACCGAACAAATTTGAAAAAAAATCTTGCAAAATCAAAAACTTTTTTAAATAGACACATTTTGTTACATAAAACATTGGCTTAATGTTCTATTCCATGCATATGTTCCATCATATAACAATTTGTAAATAATTTTCTTACTACTAACTGGAGCCCACTAATCAGATCACAGAAGTTATAATAATAATCCTTGCATTTGATATAGCGCTTTATCATGTCTTCAAGACGTCTCAAAGAGCTTCACAGGACATACTGTAAAGTGTAGTGACTGTATATTTTGTGGGTGAAATACAGCAGTGTCCCACAAATAGTCATGGATTGAGTGACCAAATTATTATTATTTTTTAAGGGATTATTACCCCTGGAAAAGCAATCCACCAGTTGACTAACAACCCAACCAGGTTCCCACTTGCTGCTTGGTAAATAAAGGTGTGTCGACTAAGGAGAGTTGCCTAACGTTTCACCCTACCCGGGAATCGAACGCAGGTCCTCTCACTTGCGTTAAAATAACCACATTTTTACAAGATGCTGGAATAAGCTACAGCATAAAATAAAAAAAGACATACTTGTTGAATACAGAACTTGCGGATGGTATAATCTACCAACACCATCATGTCTTCCACAGACACTCGGATGTTTCCATATGTCCAGCAGCCTTGGTCTGGCCAGTACTGGGCACATTTGCACTGGAACAAAATCATGTTTAATGTTAAAATTTTAAATCAGATTTCCTGCTGATTTTCTGCATATGCCACCAGATGTAATTACAAAACCGAGAAATAAAAGTATTGGAAGAGTTTTCGAAAATAATCCACATTTTAAAAACCAGCATAATTTTAAAAACAGCATTTAAATCATAAGGTAGCCACAAGTAAGTGTGTCGAAGGCTATCAACCCACTTACTTATGGCTACCTTGATGGGTATTCATCCATGAAGTGGATAAGAACACAAGTACATTGGATCCTCAATTAATCCTGTTATCAGCCACAATTTGTACCTCACCTCCCTCCCATTTCCCCCCAATGCATCACTTCACTATTGCTATGTAAAGTAATAAGGATTCAGATTATGGGAAATGAGATGTAACTTTTTAATAACTATAATCACTGAAAGTCAGTTTATCTTGCAGATATGATTATGGAAAGTAACTATATGACTCATCGAGGTCCAACCCACTTGATAAGCACATTGTGATTGTTGTAAATGTCAACCACGCTTTCTCAAACACTTTTATCTTATTTATTACATTGTTAAAAAAAACTCAAACCACATTCAATCCAACAACTGCAGAACATGTGTCAAGTAAATCTCTTCCTTTAGGGGATAATACACAGCTGGTTTGATTTGTGGATTTGAACTTGTGTTTTAAATTGTCTAAAAGAAACAATGAAAAGCAGAACTTGCTATTATGACCTGTGGATAATATGAAATAAATAATTTACATTAAAGTACGAATGCATATTACACTGGACAACAGAAATAGTATCCAGAAAGTACACTGGGTGGGTTAGATAATGGCTACTTTAAAATAGATACAAGATACAACTTGCTCAGTCAATTTTCAAAGTCTCCTCTTCGACCCCTCCTTCGGTTACCCTCCCTGCCGTCCACCCCTCCTGATCCCAACCCCATGCTCAGGTCCAAATCCCTGACTCTCCAGCGCCTTGGGACGTCGATTGATGTGAAAGACCCTATACAAATGCAATTTGTTGTTGTTTTCCATTTATTTCTTCTGTTGACGAATTATCACAGTTTAAGGTTTGAAGATAGAACTCTGAAATCACTCATGCTCCAGAAGACAGTGATTTCCTAACAGATATTTTCTACACAGAATCAAGCCATTGGGCCCATTGTATCAGTGCTCCTGCTATTTTTCTACAATCATCCCACTTTCCATTTCTCTTAATATTTATGTTGCTTGGGTGCTTATCCAGTTCAGTTTCAAACAATTCTATTGATCCAATCTGAAATGTTAGTGGTGGTAATGAATTCCAAACCTTAGCAACTCTGAATTAAGTCGATTTCTAATCTCTTCCTTAATTCGTTTTGCTAATAATCCCGAGACTCTGACCCTTGTTAGATTCTCCAATTGAAGGAAATAATAATAATCCTTGCATTTAATATAGCTCCTTATCACGCCGTTGAGAAGTCTCAAAGCGCATCACAGAATACACTATAGAGTGAATTGACTATATTTTGTGGGAGCAACGCGGCAGCCAATTGTGCACAGCAATATCTCACAAACAGTTGAGGATTGAGTGACCAAATTACTATTTGTTTTGAAGGGATTATTAACCCCGGAAAAGTGATTTGCCAATCGACTAGCAGCCACGTTCCTACTTACCGCTAGTGAACAGAAGCGTGAGGAGGAAGGAAACTTGCCTAACTTTTCGCCCTGCCCGGGAATCAAACCCAGGTCCTCTCAGAAATAATTGTTCCCACTTACTCTGTCATGCTCCTTCGGTATTTTAAAAACACATACATCACATGCCCTCTCAATCTCCCGTGTAGAAAACTAGGCTGAGCACCCTGGTAGCAGAGTTGGCTTCACAGTGGTCAGGTCTATTTGCCAAACCCTTTCACATGAGCACCAGGATTGTGCTTGTGCTAAGTAAGGCTGGTAAGCGACATTGGATTTAGACCCCAAGAAAATCAAGATGGCTAGCACGTCACAATCTGTCCCATAAAGGTCACCCCACCACACTGAAGGCAGATGTTCATCAGACAGCTGACGAGGAAACTCTGAGGCTTGAGGTGACAGATGCTGGAAGCTATTATCGGACATCCAAGTTTGTGAACAAACTTTCTTAAATTCAGGTCTTGGAATCCACCTGCAGAGAGGTAAGCAGCTGCTGCTCAAGCTCCACACCTCCAATTGGTGGAACCATCGCTCAATGGAAAAGAATATCCTTTCCAAGGAATATTGGGGAGGACAAGTTTGCAGGGCTATGGGGAGACAGTGGGATTGATTTAGATAGCTCTTTTCAAAGAGCCAGCACATACACGGTGGGCCGAATGGCCTTTTCTGTGCTACAAAATTCTATGATTCTATGAATATGTGTCCGAGCTGTGGGCAGGAAAATGGTGGCAAAGCTCTCACACATTTCATGCTGTGGAATTGTCCACCAGGAAGCTCGCAGAGAGCTCCTAGTGAGGGCTCAACCCGGGCTTATCGGATGCCAAATGAGGACAGAGTTTAGGACAGTTGCATGCAAGCCAAAGCCTTAACGCATAGAAACATTTTGACATGGACCAGTTGAGCCGAATAGCCTGCTTCTGTACTGTATCATTTTATGTAACTCAATGAATTTATCGTACCTTCCTCCATCCCTCTCTTATTTATATATATATATTTTTAAAGTCATTTGTTGTTTAGCGTCTGTTCTGTAAACATCGGGCAGGAGATGTGAACAGGACACAAGAGGTGCCCACAGAATAGCTGTCTAATCAGGGACAATTTGTTTAAGGTCTGTCACTTGAGGAAGATGTGTTTTAAAATTCACTTCCTTTTTTCTCTCGAATTGCGTCAAAGTAAAGATTTGAATCCTGCATCATATTACCAGACAGTGATTGATCAATTACTTGTATTACCTCTTTCCTTTCTTTAAGATTTGTAACCATGACAATGGTTGCTGTGTTTTGCTCCCATATCATCCTCCAGAAGTCATTCACAGTTTCTTCCTTGGGCCCTAAGATATTGAGTGAGGTTGTGGGGAAGAAGCATAAAATGACTTCTCGCGACATAGCTCAGAATGCAAATTCAAAAAGCACCTCCTATTTTTAGCATTAATCCAACTATGTTGACAAAGAAACACAACCTGTTTTAGCACTGAAATAATTAATTCATGCCTCAACACAAGCTGAATAACAGATTCTGAAAATAAGGCAGCAAATACAGGAGTCACCAAACCATTTTTGTTTTCTGCATTTGCCCACTAACTTGTCAATATTAAGACATAAAAATAATTATAGAGTTAATTACCAAGCTATAAATTATCTAGATCCCTTCTACTGTCTCTTGGGGCTCTCTGTGAAGTTGTCCTTGGATCCAGGTATTGACTGATGGGTTAACCTTTTGCTTTTCACTACTCGCTGCTGCCAATAAATGCCATTTGTCAAACCTCCACCAGTTGTCAATATAGATCAATATTTTATTAAAATTTGCAGTCAAAGCAAATAGCATGTAGATTTTATTTGTGTCACAACACATCTTAGATATCCCCTCCCCTCTTTTTTGGATTACTGTGACAGAAATCCTCCTACCGACTCCAGATAAAAATAAATTCTTGCATTTATAAAATCCTTGCATTAACAAGACCCAGTTGAGACCTGCTGGATATGTTTAGTGGACTTAAAGAAACATTGCTCTAATATTCGATGGGAACTTTCTAAGAAACACAGGAAGAGGCACCTGTAGAAAAATATTCAACAATAATTTACAAGAAAACAAACCAGTTAATTATATTTAAAAATATTAGGTTTTCTAAAAAACTCATTATTGTTGCATTAGACAATTATGTGCAACACGTCACTGGAGATCAAGATTAAGAAAATGATTACTGTGTTTAAATGCAAGCAGTTTTGAGTGCTCCAAGACACTATCCTGTGTGAAGGGCGCTATATAAATAAACTTTGTTGCATTTACCTTGAGCTGCTATGAACTTGTTTTTGTCTTGATAACCCTAAAACAGAAAATATATGACCAGCTTATAAAACAGCAAAATTTCTCTTCACCTCGGTAGTGAAATGATTTACCTTTATTAATAAAATGTAATAATACCTTCAAAAGACTGTTCAAATTACAACTCTATAGCTGAGGTTTAAAGAAGAAAGGCAACGAAAATAAATCACAACTCCAAGTGACTGGAAACAAAGCAACTTCAGTCAGAATTAATTCTGGTTTATAAATCTGGGTCTCAGACTAAAATTGAGGGATGTTCTTAGCAATCTGATGCGTGAATTTATTTCCCTGGTAGCAATATACATGGGGCTTCTGTTTTTCAACTTATTAATTTTATTTTTCGGGTTTATTTTGAGCAATTTTTCGTGTTCTATGTGTATGTCCAAAAATCGATTGGTGGATGGTTGGGGCCTTCCCTTACTGTAATGAGAAGCTTTAGGTGCCTTGTGCACTTGGACGGAAGAGATATTACATTTTAATCCAATGTTATTTTTAAATCGGTCAAGATTCTGCCCCTTTCCAGCATCTGTGAGCTGAGAGAAGCTGAGCTTCAGTTTGAGTGTCGAGGTGGGAACAGTACTCCCACTTGGAAGTTTCAAGTCGCAATCGAAGGTTGAGTTTGTAGAGTTGAAACAACACAGATATACATGCAACTGCCTGAAAGGGCGGTGGAAGAAGATTCAAAAATAACTTTCAAAAGAGAATTGTAACACTTAAAAAGAAAAAATTTGCAAATCTATGGGGAAAGAGCAGGGGAGTACAACTAATTGGATAGCTGTTGGAAAGAGCTGGCACGACGGGTTGAATGCTTGAACACCACGGGAAACATTAAAGCAGAAAAAGTTCAAGCACGGAAACATTTTGTCCCTCTTTATAGATAGTGCTTCTCCATGCCACAGCTCAACCAAGAAGACAGGCAAGTGTCTGGTGCTAAGGTTCTGCCAGATCAGCTTCATAAAATGTGCAGTAGTGGATTTAATGACAGAATATAAAATGTTTATGACCAAGAAATACTATGTATCAAATGGCATTCATGAACTATAGTCATGCCTCTTCATGCCACAATATGCAGACATAGCATAGCTTTGGACTACACTTAGCTAACAATAAAGTTTACATAACACATTAGAGACTTGTATGGCTAAATATCCTGTAACACTGCAAAAAGAAAAGGAAGTTTCCTGGTGTCTGAGCTAACAACCCCCAAGCTAATTGGTCATTCACTTTATGGGTGTTTGTGCGACCATTTTGGTGCAAGTGGCTGCAATGTTTATCTATAAAAATGGTCATGACATGTGACAGCAATTACCTGTAACTCTGAGAGGTTTCAAAGTAATGATGTTATAAAAAAGCAAGCTTCTTCTATAAAAAAATACTTTTACAACCCATTTCTAAACTGTTCATAGTATATTTATGCATTTAACTAACGATTATGTGTTGATTTTCCAACTTACGTTTATGTAAGATGCATTGATAAAGTCGGAGTCTGGAACACCTTCCACAGGTGTCAGGTGAACCCGAGAATGGTCATCTGAAACAGAAAAAAGGAAACGTTCCTATCAGAAACAAAAGGAACATGCAATCAGCATTACTAAACCAACTACATAATGAGCACATGAATAACTTTGTACATTTGTTCTCTAATTTTCTTTTGGTCAATCATGTATCTGACACATACAGAAAACCATCCCCATGCTTAAAAGTATCCAAACCAGACAGATTCGCATATGCGTCCCTCCAGGGAGAGAGACACATTCCATTCCAACAATCAATCTCTGGGATTTCCATGTGTAAGTGGGAAGCATGGAACTCTCAGTTTGGTTTGGATATTATTAAGCATGGTGATAGGTTTCTGCATGTATCAGACACTCGGCAGACCCCCCAAAAAGGCACAGAGAGAAAACCATCCCCTTTCAAAGTATACAAACCAGACAGAGATCCACATATGTATGCCACTTACATGTAGGAATTTCTCTATGCCTGGAATGAAATGTAGATTCTCTCCCTGGAAGGATGTAACCTACTTTCCTAATTCCACAAAGTATTACGCAAAGATTGTTGAGAATCAAGGCTTGGGGACCGCAGAGTGTGAGTTGGGGTACTGCTGATGTTCAACCAGCTAAAAAAAAATCATTTTCCACTGTCTGGTAAAAAGCTTCCTGCTACTTATCCACCCTATTTCATTACAGATCACGCAACTTTGGCTTGTAGGGTTAATAGGAGCCAAATGGGAAGAATCCCTGCTCCCAGTGACTGCAGCAATTCTCTACAAACCTGTTCTCTAAAGATAAGCTTAGATGGTCTGTAAAACAAAATTCAAAGGAAATCATACTCTTACTAAAGATTTCTGGGAAGTGAAATTGGTTTCTTGTTCAGAGGGTATGATTTCATACCCAAGACATTTCATAACTTTAGAACAGCTAATATGGTCCAGTTGATATTTCTTGAGTGCATAGATTCTATAAGTTAGATCTCAGCATTCTTTCTTCTCTCCTTGCTTAAGTTTCAACAACAACTTGCATTTAATCAGCACTCTTCATGCGGGACAGCATCTCGGAACATTTAACAGTGGCGGAGCCTGACGCCGAGCCGGGGGGAGGGAAGAGGTGACCGTAACAACAACACAATTACATTTGTAAAGCCCTTTCACGTCGGGAGGATGTCCCAAGGTGCTGGACAAATAGAGTTACGGATCCGAGTTGGGGATCGGGATTGGGGAGGGTGGAGGGCAGGGGGGGAAGCAGGGAGATCGAAAGTACGGTTGAAGAGGAGGGTCTTGAGATGGGTCTTGAAGGAGGCAACGGAGGGGGCAAGGCAGAGGGATTGTGGAATGGAGTTTCAGAGGCTGGGGGCAGAGTGGCCACCTGCTAATAGTGAGGCGAGCGAGGCGGGGGACGTGAAGCAGGCCGGAGCCCGCTGAGCGGAGGGAGCAAACAGGATGGTAGGGGGTTAACACGGTTTCAGTTGGAATACGTACAAGGCAGGATGTTAACATATCGGTTCTTCTCTTTGTTTTCTTCTTTTGACGCAGCTTCACAAGAGGCTTGGATTGGACATGTGGGGAGAGCCTATGTTGTCATGGAAACACAAATGACTTCAGTAAATTGCTTAATAAAGAGTTTGAACTCTATGCACAGAATATTTAAGACATGCTGCTGTCAAAAGCATAGAAAATGTCAAAGCAATATTAATATTTTAGAAAATGACTTAAAATATGAATCCACTAATTACTCAATTTTACATCAAACTGGCTTGTGCTGTTCAAGGCAAGTGATTTACTTTCTTTACCAATCACTTGCTTGTACAATCAAAATATATTCTATAAAAACCTTAAAATATTCTAGTTTGAGTATTACCATTCATTGCAGGCCAATTAATTTTAAAGCTACAGTCATAGATAGCAATGTATCTTTTTAAAACCATCAATACAAAATTCTGAGTCTACTTTAGCAAACTAGCAATTAAAAACTTGAAAGCCAAGATTCAGGCATTGGTTTGAGAAACTGCATTTCATTACAGATCACGCAACTTTAATCTACCGATGAAAGAATAATCACTTTCTTAATTGAGTGACAAGATGAAAGGTTTTTATTTATTTGAAAAACATACAGCTCTAGGAATCAGGAAGCCACGAATGAAACAAAGTGATAATAGACTGACTAGAGTAAGAGGAAGCCCTGACAGAATTTCTACCATAATCCAAACGTATGCAACCAAAGTTAATATGGATGCAACCAAGGTTACTATGGGAGGCACAGGTACAAATAGCGGAGGCTTTGGCTACAATTTTTCAATCTTCGTTGGACACAGGAGTGGTGCCAGAGGACTGGACAGTGGCCAATGTGACTCCCCTGTACAAAAAAGGACAGAAGGACAAACCTGCGAACTACAGGCCAGTCAGCCTAACATCAGTAGTGGGGAAACTCCTGGTAAACAGTAAGAAGGATAGCAGCCAACTGCAGGAAGACATAGACAGAATGGTAAAATGGGCAGACACGTGGCAGATGAGTTTCAATGTAGAGAAATGCGAGGTAATGCATTTTGGTAGAAAGAATGAGGGGAGGCAATATAGGCTGGTAATACAATCTTAAGGGGGGGGTGAAAGAACAGAGAGACCTGGGGGTTCAGGTAAAGGAATCCTTGAAGGTGGCAGGACAGGTAGATAAGGCTGTAAAATGGGCATATGGGATACTAGGCTTTATAAATAGGGGCATAGAGTACAAGAGTCAGGAGGTTATGATTAACCTATATAAAACACTGGTTAGGCCTCAGTTAGAATACTGCGCCCAATTCTGGGCACCAGACTATAGGAAGGATGTTAAGGCATTGGAAAGGATGCAGAGGAGATTTACGAGGATGGTCCCAGGAATGAGATGCCTTGATTATGAGGAAAGGCACGAGAGGCCGGGATTATTCTCATTGGAGCAGAGAAGGTTACGAGTAGACCTAATAGAAGTCTTCAAAATCATGAGGGGATTTGATAGGTTAGACAGGGAAAAACTGTTTCCACTGGTGAGTGTGTCGGTAACTCGAGGGAAGGTGAGAAGAAATTTTTTCACGCAGTGAGTTGTTCGAATCTGGAACGCATTGCCTGAAAGAGTGGTCGAGGCCGATTCGATAACTACTTTTAAAAACACGGTGGACGGGTATTTGAGGAGGACGGGTTTGCAGGGATATAGGGAAAGGGCTGAGAAGTGGGATTGACATTAATTGCTCTATTCAAAGAGCCGGCACAAACTCGATGGGCCGAATGGCCTCTTTTTGTGCTGTACAATTCTATGATTCTACGATTCTATTCTAGCATCAACGACAACTTGCATTTATATAATGTCTTTCATGTAAGATAATGACTTGGAGCACTTCATAGAGATGAGGTTGGACGCTGAGCACGAGAGAGGGAGGCAACTGTTGATTGGATTTAAAGAGAGAATGGTGTCGAGAACACATCGGGAAGAGGAAGTTCCAGAATTTAGAGACAAAATTGCTGATAGCGTGACCACTGATGGAGATACAGAGAAGGTGGGGGAATATCCAGCAGGTCTGAGTTAGACAAGTGGAGAAGGCGAGCAGAAAAGTAGGATCACAGAAAATGGGAGGGATTTATTATCTGTGAGGTAAATCTGTTTATTACTTGCTAACTCCTTGACTGCAGGTGATGTCACCAAGAGGGAATATATCGATGAGACAAAGGAGGGGACTTAAAGCATGAAGGGATTTATAAGTGAGGATGAGGACTTTGAAGCTGATTGGATGAGAGACAGGGAACCTTAGGTGGGTTCCATGTCTACTACATCAGTAGACATGGAATCAAAAGTTGAAGATCTGAATTCTTGTCAACTCCATGTCTGTGCATGGTCACCAAGAGGGAATATATAGATGAGACAAAAGAGGGGACCAAGGATAGAGCCCTGAGGTATTCTGCAGGTGACTCTGTGAAGGTGGGAGCAGAAACCATCAGGGGAGACAAAGTGGAGGTGATTGGGGAAGGATTGGAACTAGGAGATGAGGTCAGTCGGAGATGGACGAGGGAGGAAAGGCAATCGAGGAGGATGGAGTGGTTGACAAGGTCAAAAGGAACAAAGAGGTCAATGAGACAAGGTGGCAGAGGAATGGTGATGACACTAGGCATCCCTTTTCATTGACACCAGTTTCCAGTCAATCAAGTGTTTTTTTTTGCACAAATAGTACTGATGGGAGTCCTGTAGCTCAGTGGTTAGAACACTCGCCTCGCAAGCGAGAGATTTAGGTTTGATTCCCGACGGGGCGAAATGTTGGGCAAGTTTCCTTATTCCACATGCCTGTTTACCTAGCAGTAAGTAGGAACCCGATTGTTAGTCGATTGGCAGATCGCTTTTCCGGGGGTAATAATTCCTCAAAAAAATAATAATAAATTGGTCACTAAATCCACGACTGTTTGTTGAACACTGCCGTGCACAATTGGCTGCCGCATTTCGCCCACAAAATATAGTCAATTCACTTTACAGTATATTCTGTGAAGTGCTTTGAGACATCTCGAAGACGTGATAAAGCGCTATATCAAATGCAAGGATGATTATTATTTCATACTGTGCCTTCAACATACAATACAATTTCCAATTATACACTTTCACATCAGGCGACATCTCAAAGCACTTAACATTACTGTTTGACCACACAAACTGGGGGTGGAAGCCAAGTGGGGCGAGAAGAGAAAGATGACTGAAAGTGTGGTCAAAGAAATATGTCCTTCAATAAAGCGATGTGACTATTATCTCTCAACTCCCTATCCACTGGCAACAATTTCCACCCTTTCAAAAACAGCTGTCATCACTCTTTAAAAACTTTAAAAAACCTTCCCTGGACCCATGACTGCTGTCAAACTACCGCCCCATCTCCAACCCACATTCCCTCCACCTCACTCCCTCCTTTACCTACTTCAAGGAGCATCTCAAACCCTCCTCTTCGACCAAGCCTTTGGCCACCCTCCTACCCTCCACCTCCCTGATTCCCTGCTCTGATCCAAATCCCTGACTGTCCAACGCCTTGGGACGTTCTCCCGACATGAAAGGCGCTATACAATGTCATTTGTATTTGTATATATTGTTAGTGGAGCTTTTATTAAAAAAAAGTCAATGCAAAAACAATTGCAATGTACATCTTGATGTACAGAATTCTTTACCTGTCTGAATCCAAACTGGGACTTGCACTGGATCTCGAGTATAATAATAATCCTTGCATTTGATATAGGGTTTTTCACGTCTTCTAGACATCTCAAAGCACTTCACAGAATACACTGTGAAGTGAATTGACTGTATTGTGTATTGACTATATGCTCCCCCTTGGTGCCATCATCCGCAGACATGGGGTTAACTTCCACATGTATGCGGATGACACCCAACTCTACCTTTCCTCTTCTATCCTCAACTCCACGACCACCGATGTCCTGACAGACTGCCTGTCTGACATCGAGCCCTGGACGAGAGACAACTTTCTTCAGCTCAACGTGCGTATAACTGAGGCCCTCCTGATTGGTTCGCGTTAGCGCCTCCGCACCTCAGGCGCTGACAGCATCAGCATCCAAGGCTGCACTCTCCACCTCTCAAAGCCATCAGGAACCTCGGGGTTCTGTTCGACCCTGAGCTGTCCTTTCTTCCTCATATCCGCGCCACAACTGGCACCGCCTTCCATCACCTCCGGAATATCGCCAGACTACGGCACTACCTCACCCCTCACGCTACTGAAACTCTGGTCCACGCCTTTATCACCTCAAGGCTGGACTATGGGAACTCTCTCCTCGCCGGCCTTCCCGGCACCTCCCTCCACAAGCTGCAGGTCATTCAGAACTCTGCAGCTCGTGTACTGTCCCGCACCAGGCTTCGGGACCACATCACTCCCACCCTCGCTCGCCTCCACTGGCTCCCCATCCCCCAGAGGATCGAATTCAAGATCCTCATCCTCACCTACAAGGCCATTCACGGCCTTGCTCCCTCCTACCTCTCCGACCTACTATCCCCCTACCTACCTGCCCGTACCCTCCGTTTCTCTGGCTCCGGTCTGCTCCACATCTCCGCCCCAACCGCCCTACCATCGGTGGCCGGGCCTTCAGCCTCTCAGCCCTGAGGCTCTGGAACTCTATCCCCCAGTGCCTTCGCCGCTTCCTCCCTTTCCTCCTTCAAGGCCGGTCTCAAGAACTTTCTCTTTGACCGTACCTTCAGCTCCCCTCTCGACTCTCTACAACCTCCTCGCTCTCTCCCTTCCCTCCCCTCACCCTGACCATTTCCCCCCTGCTCGGGTCCCGACCCAACTGTCCAGTGCCTTGGGACGTCCTCCCGACGTGAAAGCTGCTCTAATAAATGAAATCTTGTTGTTGTTGTTGTGGGAAAAACGCGGTAGCCAATTGTGCACAGCAGTGTCCCACAAACAGTTGTGGATTGAAGTGACCAATTTTATTATTTTTTTTCTTGAGGGATTATTATCAGGCATGTTGAGTAAGGAAACTTGCTCAAAGTTTCGTCCTGCCTGGGAATCTTGCTTGCGAGTGCTCTAACCACTGAGCTACAGGACTCCTACATGTGTTTGTGGTGGGAGGGGGATTGTATCCAGATAAGGCTCTACACTGCTTTGCATCTGGTAGTCCTTAAAAGTGCTCTCAACTGGGAAATTCCCAAGATATAAATGTATAATACCATTGATCATAACAAGCAGGGCTAAATAATGGCAATATGGATGAGGGAATATTCTGGAGCTTTGTGTATATTATACAAGCAGCATCCATTCATTGCTGTTTTGACGTCAAAACGACGTGGAGGCCTGTAGTTCATGGAGTCCTGTAGCTCAGTGGCTAGAGCACTCGCTTTGCAAGCGAGAAACCTGGGTTTGATTCCCGGCAGGGTGAAACCCTGGGCAAGTTTCCTTACTCCTTGCGCCTGATAATAATCCCTCAAGAAAATAAAACAATAATGAATTGGTCACTTCAAACCACGACTGTTTGTGGGACACTGCTGTGCGCAATTGGCTGCCGCATTTCGCCCTCTAATTTACAGTCAATTCACTTTACAGTCTATTCTGTGAAGCGCTTTGAAACATCTCGAAGACGTGAAAAGGGCTATATCAAATGCAAGGATTATTATTATTATAAAATCTACACCAATAGTTTAGTATATTCACTGCGTAAATAGATGTTTGGTTTTAAATAAAATCAATACAAATGGCTAAGGAAGAATTCTGCTTCATTCCAGCCAATTCCAAATTAACTCGTAAACCACCAAAAACACTTAAAATTTCCTGGCCATCAGACCAGCACTAGGGAACAGAGTTCTGTGAATGTGCTTCATCACACAAGCGCAGAACTCAGCCTAAAGCAAGATCACCTCAAAGTAGGTAGTACAATTCTAGTTTTCTGTCATGAATTTCTTTACTACTGGACGTGATGTTTTATTGAATCTGTCATGTGCTTGTGGCACTTTGATTACCTTATATTCCAATGCAAAAAGCTAGATTGAGAGGTGTGGCCATGTCCACAATAGGGCAGCTTCTTCATAATCTGCAGAAATGGCCGTTTGAATAGAATGTCTTTGCTCCGTGCTTTCTTAAATTTGACTGTGCATCACCTGAGCTGATTCTCAGTGTTCAGATTGAGTTCCCAAAGTGGGCAATTTCTTAGCACTGACTTTCCTCACCTTAATGAGCACTGATTTTGCCTCAAATTATTCATTACCAAATTAGGGGCAATAATCACCCCAATACTGGATAATCTAGTAGCACTGAACTCAATAAAGCTATACAAAAATTTTACATTAAATTCTTCTCTGAAGAGCTTGTTGTCATCTGCCATTCTTCGATTGGCTTCTTCTTCCAGTTTCTCAATAGACAGAGGGGGGTACTTTCTGTTAGTGCTTGGAGACCTCGCGAGCAAAGGCATGCTCTGGAGCTCTGTATACAATATAAAACAGATTTGATCCATCAGAAATACACAAACATTTAATTTACTAATACATTTATTGTCTCGTGATAAATAATGCTTATTGTCATCTAAACTTTGCAGCAGAAGCCAAGTTCAAAGTAGACATAAGCTAATTAAAATCACACACAAACAAGCTTCTATATTCGAAAATACCTTTTATTGCAAATGCAACTTTTTTCAAATGCATCCATCTTCCAAAATGTAAAACCAAATAAGCAAAACAATGGTTACCGAATAACAGACATTACCCTTCATCAAGTAGGTGTGTGAATGTGCCAAACATGCACACATGGTGGTGGTGAACCGTAGGGAAAAATACACTGATATTACTCGATTTGCTGGAGTTGGACAGAACAGTCATATGGAAGCATTGTATGAGACAGGTTAAAAAGAGGCAGAATCATTCAACTGATTTTCTGTACTGAACGATCGTAACTCATGTAAACCATGATCTAATATATCTTTCACAGTTGGCCAATCATCCCTGGGAATACAATCACCAAAAGGAAAGTTAAAATAAATCTGGAAAATTCAATGACAAAAAACATTAGCCTCCTCACTGTCTCAATTTATCTGGGAAACTGTCTTGGGTATTGCTTCTAATTTACATAGAAGGGGGAGGGGAAGATCTTGAAATACAGCTGACAATGCATAAACTGAATGACTTACTTGAATATATTAATTAGAACCCAATATGTTTCCTTGAGAATTTTAGGGCGTAGTTGATATGGGCCAGTTGCCTTGTAGACATCTGGGGTAATACATTCCTCAAGTCCCCTAGTGACGCTGACAATATTTGGCAATGGGATGGAATACCGTATGTTAGCACTTATGATCAACCCAGCTAAACTTAGTGGCCCAAGGAATTTTTGAGTTTCTTCATAACAAATGATTCACCGTTGTCCAGTTGTGTTAAGTATCCCTGAGCCAAAATGATCTGGAATCTGAACAGTCTTCATTTGTGAAAACAGATATGAAAAATTAATTCTTTATATCTTGATCTTGTTTTCTTTTTTCACCCTTAAAGAACACATCCAGTCTTTAACACACCATCTGCTGCTGGCATAGCTAAAGAATTTCTTAGAATCCACCCTGCTATTCCAATCTGCTTTTCTGTTGACCTGTTATGTTCTTTGTAGATCACGTTAACTGAGACTCCAGTCCTCACCATTTTTTTTCTTTGCATCTTTTAAATGATTTTATTCGACCTTCAGATTAGTTAGTAGCTTTTTGTCTAACAACTGTGACATTCACATTTTTTGCAAACACCGTGCTGGTAATTCAGATTCAACAGAAGAAGCTAAACAGCCAGTTACATCTAATGCAAGCCCCGCTTAAAGAACAGAATACAAATAGCACAGTATGGAGTGGGAAGAGGAATAAAAGCACACAGCAGTAACTTTACCAGAGATGGGCAAAATGGAGTGGCCTCAAAGTGCTGAAACTGCTGAAGAAACTTGAAAATAGAATTTGTACAATTCCAAGAAAATAATTTCCACATAATAAGAGTAGACCTACACAAGTACATTTGTAAATTAAATTTTGAAAAACTGTTACATGCATCCCGATCATTGCAAAAACAAACTTTTGTTCTCCAAAATAAATGAACAGTTTTAGATCACACATCTTCAACTTTACGGCCTATTTGTACCTACTATTCCCTTTGATCAGTCAATGCATAGACCAAGTTAATGTATCTGAATATCCTAATCCTTCCCATCAATGGGACACTGATGTGCGCAATTGGTTGCCGTGTTTCGCCCACAAAATACACAGTCAATTCATTTTATAGTATATTCTGTGAAGAGCTTTGAGATGTCTCAATGAAGTGATAAGGTGCTACATCAAATAAAAGGATTATTATTATTATTATCCCCACCACAAACTGGAAAATACAATGTTAACTCTGCTTTGTACTGTGATGCATTTCTAGTGTACCTTAATGACACAGAATTGCTAATTGGATCAGGGAGTATTATGGCTAAAGAATTTCTGGGAACCTACTCTTGTCAAAAATAAATCTAATTCTTTCATTTGATGTAACATCTATGTCTAGAGGACTTCTCAAAGAGTTTCACAAGATTTAGTATAAAGCTTAGTGACTATATATTTTACAGGTTAATGCGGCAGACAACTTGCGCACAGCAATGCCCACAAATAGCCAAGAAGTGAATGATCAGTTCTAAATATAACTTTCTAAACAATTATTCACTGGGTAAACCAGTGGGTATATTAAACCTTGATACAGGGCCAACTTGTTTTCCAGAGGAACCAGGTAATACCGTTTTCTCTATAAAACTACTGCTTTAATCTTTATGTAGGCTAACTTGTTGGCCAAATAAAATTGATCGTCATTGCACCACTGTTTTGGTAGTCTCCTCAGAATTTCTCTAATTTACACTCCACAGGCCTCTGCTTACGTAGCAGTAAGTAGGAACCCGGTTGTTAGTCAATTGGCAGATCGCTTTTCCGGGGGTAATAATTCCTTCAAAAAATATAATAGATAATTTCAATCCACGACTGTTTGTGGGACACTGCTGTGTGCAATTAGCTGCCGTGTTTCGCCCACAGTCAATTCACTTTACAATATATTCTGTGAAGTGCTTTGAGACGTCTTAAGACGTAATAAGGCACTATATCAAATGCAAGGATTATTATTATTTTTGAAGTTGAAGAAATACTTAAGGCGGCGGCAATACTTTTTACAGACTGTATTTAGTTTTGATTATTAGAAATCAGACTGCAGCATGCCGATGAAAGCTTCACTTCAAACTTTCACTAACAACAAGTCAATGGACATATGGAAATCAATAGAGTGAACATAATGAACACAGAATGCTTAAGGAAGAAACCTATCACTTCCATGAGATATCATTTTGTATGACAAATGATTACATATTAGAATAGAAAATCCAATCATACTTTGTTTTTACTGTTGAAATAGATTGGGCTTGAATGTACAGACCGAATATTAGCACTAAACTGGCAGTAAATGAAAAGTTGAACACTGACATGTATGGAAGCTTTGTCCTTTCAAGTACATAAACAAATTTATATTTGGAGGTAGTAAATTATTTCTAGGCTACAAATAGATGAGGGGTGAGTAACAAAGCAGGTTTCTGTTAATAGTTACGGAAATAAAAACTCAACAATGAAAGCAACAAAAGTATGTTTTAAAACATTGCATATTTACACAACAATCCAAAATACTCACTTACAAGCTTTCTATAATTGTGTTACCAGTGAGAGGCCTTAATAGATGGAACATTTTTGATGCCGTACAGATAGGTAAGTCCAATGTACCCATGAACATCTAAAATAACCCTCTTCATCCATGACTCATTACACATCTCTCTGCATTGGCTTTGGTCTCCAGAAGCAGCATAACATTAATTTACAAATTTTCACACTCATATTTGAACAAAATCGTGACACTGTAGTTAGAATTTTGTATCTAGAATTGGTTACCCACTTCAGGAAAGGCATGAAGGTGATAGATGGGGTACAAAGATGATTTACTGGAATAAATGGTTTGGCCTATGAGCGGAGACTGGAGGAACTTGGACATTTCCGCTGGAACCAAGTTTGAGGGTGACCTGATTGAAGTTTTTAAAATTATGAGGGGCTTTAATACAGTAATTAGGGGGAAATTCTTCCCATTGGTTGGTGAGTCAGTAACTAGAGGACATCAATTTATAAAAAGAATATTTGCATTTGATACAGAGCCGTATCAGGTCCTTGAGACGTCTCAAAGCGCTTCACAGAATATATTGTAAAGTGAATAGACTCTATATTTTGTGGGCTAACTAGTAAATAAACACATGGGAAGGTTAGGAGAATTTTCTTTCAAACACGGAGTAGTTATTTTGAAATCCCTGGCGTGGTGGTTGAGTCAGAATCCATATTGATCTTCAAGAAGGAACTAGACAAGTAGCTTAAAGAGTCAGCTACAGGGGTATGTGGGCAAACAGCAGGTAAATGGGACTGAAAGCATTGCTCTTAAAAGAGCCAGCACAAACACAATGAGCCGAATGGGCTTCTTCTGTGCTGTAAATTTCTATGGCTCCACAATAATTTTTCATGAACGTAAGCAGTACCCACTATTATCCTGTACTAGTGTCACTTAATTCAAATGTTGGCAATTAAAAAAAACTGCAAAGAACAGCCATTTGAATAAAGAACTGTAAATATGCAATGTTTTAAAAAATTAGTCACTCAATCCACGACTGTTTGTGAGACACTGCTGTGCCCAATTGGCTGCCGTGTTTTGCCCACAAAATATACAGTCAATTCACTTTACAGTATAATCTGTGAAGCGCTTTGAAACATCTCAAAGACATGATAAAGCACTATATCAAATGCAAGGATTATTATTTCTCTACAGAAATTAAGCAAAATTAAAAATCCAGACAAGTTCTTTAAAAATAGCCCAGACACATGATTTATTTTATTCCTCATTCATTTTGCATTCTCAATCTTTAAATAATTTGATATTGCACCTATAATGTTTAAATGTCTCAAAGGACTTGATACGGAATTGCTGACAAGTCACTGTGCATTTTCAGGCAGTTATAGCAGCCAATTTGCACCTAGCAGATCTCACGAACAGCCCTGACCAATTTATCTAGAGATTATGGCCAACACACCAAGAGAAATTCCCTTCTATGTTCAAATAGTGCTGCAGAATCTTTAACATTCACCTGAATAGTTGGGACTGGACCTCTTTTAATGTTTCATTCCAAGTATAGAACTAAAGCATAATCCAGCATTCCTGGTACTACACTGGAGTGTCAGCCTAGACTGTAAACTCAAGCCCCCATGTGGAAATTGAACCCACACACTTCTGACTCAGGCGTAATACTACCAATTAAACAAATCTGATACCCATTTTTATATGACATCAAAGATTAGTTGGAATTGAATACTTACACCCCTTAGGTGTTTTGAAATAGATTATAAGGAACTTTCCAGAAAAAGATCAAAGGACTCTCCTGTCTGTGTTTTGAGACACTTTCAGCGCTTTGGGACATCTTCCTGATGTGAAAGGTGCTATATAAATGTCAATTATATTATATTGTCTATATGAGAAGAGGGGAGAGAAAAAAGGGAGTTGTTCATCAACTGTGGAAGGACCACACCTGATGAACTTATTTTATCTTTTTCTGTTCTTGGATTTTTTATATTCTTGAAGTCAGAAGGATAAATATGACACTTTCGACACAATAAAACAGGCTTTTTGGGGGGCTTTTCTAGGTTACAATTCTATTGGGTCATTCTTAGTACATGACAATCAAAGCAGTTTCTTCTCTTATCCTCCCCCAACTCAATACACATTTTCTTTCATGAGATCCAGTGAGCAGGAATATTCATTAGCAGAATACACAGCTGTATTGGCACTCTGATTTCAGATCCAATTATAAACTGAATCGATTCATAGTATTTTGAGGTTATCAGCTGAGTTCATTTTCTGATTGTCTATTAAATTGCCATCCTGAAAAGATGAACCACCATGTTCATGCTTTTAAACCTACCTGTATCATCTGTTCTTCCATTGGATAATCTGAAGGAATTCGAATGACTTCCAGCCTGCTTGTATTTTTTAAACCTGGTAGATAAAAACGTACACTTTGTTTAGAAGTATGTAAAACTAATAGATCTTCAATAATAATAACTCTTGCATTTGATTAATCACTATGTCAGTGAGACAAATCAAAGCTTTTCACAGGATTTTATTGTGAATTGTGGGGACTGTGTGTTTGTAGGCAAACAGCCAATTTGCACAGAGCAATGTCCCACAAACAGTCACAAAGTGAATCACCATTTTTTATCCAGGGGATTGTTGACCAGGACACCAGGAGAAACTCCCTTCTCTTTTGGAATAGTACCATGGGATATTTAACATCCATCTGAACGGGCAGATAGAACCTCAGTTTAACATCTCATCTGAAGAACGGCACCCCTGATAATGCAGTACTCCCTCAGCACTGTATTGGAGTGTCAGTCTTGACCTTGTGTTCAAAGTCCTGACGTAGGGCTTGAACCTCACCCCCTTTCTTATTAAAAGCGTAAGTGCTACCAACTGAGCTAGTCTGACGTCTGCAATAATAATCCTTGCATTTGATATAGCGCCTTATTTCATCTTCGAGATGTCTCAAAGCGCTTCACAGAATTAACATAATATAAAAATGTACTGAATGTAATTCATCTTCCTGTACTTTAATGCATGGCATCAGGGCAACTCAACGTGCCCCGAAATTCCCTTCCCCATAAGCATCAAATTATTCGACAAACAACAACTGGCATTTATACACCAATCCACCTTTGCCAGAAATGGCTCTTTCAATGTCAACCAAGTCTGTAACACAATCCAAAAGGGGGAATTGGATCATTCAGTTTTATTATTCTGCAGGCTTAAATCAAAAGGACAAATTGCATTTATAAAGTACCTTTCACATCAAGAGGACATCCCAATGTACAGGACACTCGAGGGTTTGCAGTCGAGCTGGGGGTTATATTTGAGGAGTGGCGGCCAAGGATGTAGAGTAGCAAGATGATCAAAGGCACAGTCAAAGCGCATGGTCTTAAGACAGACTTTAAAAGAGGCAAGGGAAGGGGTGAGGGAAAGGGACTCCAGGGAGTTTCAGAGAATGGGGGTAGAAAGACTGAAGGCCTGACTGCCAAATGGTGGGGCGGGCAGGGCGAGGGGAATATGAAGCAGGCCTGTTGAGCGGAGCGAGCGAGCAGGTTGCTAAGGTTTTAGAAGGTCGCACAGTTAGTGAGGGGCAAAACTGTGGAGGGTTTAAAAGGTAAGTGTGAGATCTTGAACACAATCTTCTGGGGGGATGGGGAACAGCTTTGCTGTTTGTCAGTTCATCTGCATCTATATCTGTCCTTTTCTGTAATGATTTTCTTCATTTTGTCAAAGTAAACTCTTATATGAAATCAAACTGTGATCGTCTCTGTATATTTGTCATTACTTATTTAGTTTGTGCCTATTGTGCCTGTCTGATGTCTACTGGTTCATCCAGAATGTGTCCAGAGAACCCGATTTGTAAAACCAATTTTAGAAGTAGTAGTTCACAAGTAAGCATAGGTAACTATGCTACAGCTGAACTGTCAAGATTGCAATTGTATTGGGCTAATGAGCAAAAAGACTCTTGCAAATACACCAGCGTACACTGATAACCTGGGCCAATAGAAAAATGCAGGCAAACTTTCTCCGCGGAATCCCCACAAAACACCCCCTCCACTACAAACCCGCTATAAATGTAGTTTTTGGCCCGTGGGCCTCCCAGCTGTTTACCTGTCTCCCTCGCCTATGTGTGTTTGTGGCTGTGCCTGTGTGTGTTTCTCTACTTGTTTGTGAGTGTCTCTATGTGAGTGTGCATCTCTCTCTGTGTCTGAGTGTGCGTTTCTCTCTGTGTCTCTGTCTGTGTGTCTGTGTGCGGTGCTGAGCCCGGTATGTGTGTGTCTGTCTGTGTCTCCCTCTCCTATGTGTGTTTGTGGCTGTTCCTGTGTGTGTCTCTCTATGTGTTTGTGAGTGTCTCTATGTGAGTGCATCTCTCTCTGTGTCTCTGAGTGTGTGTATCTCTGTGTGCCTGTGTCTCTGTGTGTCTGTGTGCAGTGCTGAGCCCTGAGAACTGCTGTAACTTCCCTGGTGTCCCCCAACCCCCAAAAAGGCCTCCCAGAAGTAATTAATTTTTTTTGCAACAATCTAATATATGTTATTGCCTCATGTTTAGTTTTTAATCAATAAAGTGAAAAAATGTAGGTTGGCAATAAAATTAACCTCAATAACACCAATCAATTCCCCGACATTTTCTGCAAAAGGTGCCAAAACTTTCCCTGCAATTTTGGGCATATATTTCTACACTTTTCTATTGGCCCAGCTGATAAATCAACATTTTCAATTGTCACTTACCTCAGCATATACAGTACTATAATAATAAATACAATGACCAACAGTGACGAGAGGGCCACCATTACTGCTATAATTGGCATCTCATCTGCAATGAAAAACATAAGAATGCATTATTGCCAACACATTGGGTATGGAGAAAGGGCAGGTAAATGAGCCTGAAAGAATTGCTCTGAAAAGAGCCAGGCAGACACGATGGGCTGAATGCTGTAAAATTCTATTGTTCTATATGAAAAAAGTACACAATGTATTCGGTGAGAGATATTTCATCAGAACATGCAACTGTAAAGCTGTACAGTATCTTCTATAAGAATGTATATAAAGTTACAATTTAAAAAAAAGCCGTATTTGCCATTTAAAACGTTCATTTTAAGGACTGAAGATACCACACATTTTCTTTTGATTATTATTTCCAGATATGGCAAAAAAAAGAAAATTATCAGTTTTCAAATATACAATTTAGAAGGAATAAAATGATACTGTAGCAAGTTAATAATTATCTTGGCTCCTCAGACACGGTTTGCAAGCAGACAGGGTAAACAGATCAAATCATAAATTAAAAAAAACCAGTATTTTATCTTAAAATTATGCCTTCAAAGGCGACTTCCATAATTTATGTCATGTGTTTTAAAAAGCACAAGGTTGTTTGTTTACATTGGTTGTTTTTAAAATGTTGTTAGTAAAGTCTATAGTTCAGTGGTTAGAGCAAATGCCTCACAAGCGAGAGACCTGGGTTCAATTCCAGGCAGGGTGAAACCTTGGGCAAGTTTCTTTACCTCACACACCTGATAATAATCCCTCAAGAAAAAAAACAATAATAAATTGGTCACTTCAATCCATAACTGCTTGGGGGACACTGCTGTGTGCAATTGGTTGCCACGTTTCGCCCACAAATATAGTCAATTCACTTTACAGTATATTCTGTGAAGCGCTTTGAGACATCTAGAAGAAGTGAAAAACACAATATCAAATGCAAGGATTATTTATTATAAAATCATAGAATCATACAGCACAGAAAGAGGCCATCTGGCCCATCGTTCCTGTCTGATATCTACTGGTTCACCTCCATTGACTAAACTGTGTTGTAGTTGCATTTGCTTAACCAAGGAAGCCATTACGCCCATTGTACAAGAGACGGTGCTATCTTTTCAGATAAAGCACAGCTGGTAGAATCAGTAGCAGTGCAGACAATAGGGCTTGTATTCATCTTTGTATTTAACTTAAGATATGAATGTTAGTCACACATAAGCACAGAGTCAGACATTTTAGAGTTGTTTTTTTAGCAAAGCAGATTAATCGATGCCACAAATCTGCCAGTATGCAGTGCCGAAGCTTTTATCTAACAAAAGTCCTAGCCTTGAAAGGATTAGAGCGCACTATGACATAATAATTGCTCTCAACATCTCCATTATTGTAGAATGCAACTACCAGGATTGTAGAAGGCAAATCAGATGGACCTTGGTCTTTTTTAGTCCAGCGATTCCTCTGTTCCTATGACCCAGCTGTTCAATGCTTGTATATTTATTAAAAAAAACACGCTAGGATATAACTACTACAAACCACTCTATAATTTATACTGCTCTAAAAAATACTTATCATACTTTCCTCAAAAAGGATTAGTGTTCTTTCACAAATAGCAGCCAAATGCGTTGCATGAACATCACATGCTAGAACAATATATCAGAAACCCAGTATTGCAAGTATCATTGCAACAGTATTAAAAGTTTTGATAAACTGATTAAAACTCGAGTTAAAACCAATCCCAGCAAGATTACAGACTGCCTTTCACGTCAGGAGTGCATCCCAAGGCTCTGGACATTCAGGGATTTGGACCAGAGTTTGGGGCAGGGAGAGTAGCCAAAGGCTTGGTTGAAGAAGTGGGTTTTGAGACTGAAGGGAAGGGAAGGTGGAATGGAGTTCCATTGGGTGGGGGTAGAAAGCCCGGCCGCCGATAGTGGAGCAGGCCGAGCGAGTGATGTGGATCAGGCCAGAGACTACTTAGCGGAGGGAGTGGACAGGTTGATATGGGGTCAGTACGTCACAGAGGTAGGGAGGGGCAAGTCTGTGGAGGGCCTTGAAGGCAAGGATGAGGGGGTGGGGAGCCAGTGGAGCCAGGCCAGGGTGGGGGTAATGGGATCATGGAGCCTGGTGCGGGAGAGGACACGAGCTACAGAGTTCTGGATGATCCCGGGAAGAGTTGGGGAGGCCGACAAGCAGGGAGATGGCGTATTCGAGGTGATAAATGTGTGGATGAGGGTTTTGGCAGCCTGAGGAATGAAGCAATGGCGGAGCCGGGCAATGTTGCGGAGGTGGGGAAGGCAGAGCGGGTCATGGCACGAATGTGGGGTAGAAAGGAAAGTTGAGGGTCAAACAAGATGCCAAGGTTCCAGACTGGCTCAGTGAGGTGGAGTGTGCATCCTTGGATTAGTTTTGAGTGGCACACATCAACACACAGAACACTCATCATCAATTACTGAGCCAACCATATCTCCTCTCTTGTTTAGAACCCAAGAACTTGTTAGGCGAAAGAAGACAAAGGTCCATCTAGTTCACCTTTCACCATCCTGGCAGTCGCTTTACATGGGATATGCTATGACAGCAAAGAAAACAAGTGAAATTTAATGGCAAGCTGCCAATTATTTCTGCAGTATTTGCTATAAAGGCTCAGAAGCAGAAAACACAGAACACAAAGATGCTTACCCATTTGCAAACATTTTTAACATTGTTTGGGAGTCATTTTGTACAGTTTGTGTACAAATTGAAACTAAATCTTCAGAAGCTTCACACATGTGGATTTTGTAAACTTAGGTCTATTCAATGTACTTGGATTTGATTTAGTCAAGTCACATTATATCAAGAGTCGAATAGTTTCAATCGCATTTAAAAATTATGGAACTCAGTGCCTTGGTACAACCTCCCGATGTGAAAGGTGCCATATAAATGCAATTTGTTGTTGTTGAACTTTGAGCAAAACGTTCGAAAATATTTTAAAATAATGACTGTTATTTAAGTGGTTCCATTTTTATTTCATTCAACTTATAAGGCTATGTTTTAATTATAAAATGACTTGAGGCTGGTTTCTTGGGCAAGATATTTGATGAAGAATCATGGGTTGGAGTTTATACCCAATTGGTCTGATTTTGACCACCAGGTGGAGATATTAAATATATTTCATAGACACTAACTTGCCATCACTGTATTTTCTCAACACAATACAAAATTCACAGCCTTAAACAGCAATGTTTATGAAGCAATGTTGGACACAATGGGCTTGACAACTTAGTTCCATCAATGAACTTTCTTTGAGGTTTTTGCCAAAATCTTAATCAATGGGTAGCAAGAGATATGGGCAAAGGCAGGTAATTCAAGTTGAGATACAATTCAGCCATGATCTAATCAAAATGGCAGAACACTCTCGAGGGGCTGAATGGCCTACTTCTCTCTGTTCTCTGTTCCAAATGAATCACTTAATGAATGTTCAGTGCTTCCTACATGGTCTTCTCCATACTCTTTATGTTACTTGCCTGCATGACACAACCATAAAACATATATTGTTGTGGCAGAATCCATATTTGTTTTCAAAAGGAAACGAGATAGACAGCTAAAAAATACTAATTTGTACGGGTATGGGGAAAAAACACAAATAAATGAGACTGAATGGATTGTCCTTAGAAAGAACTAGCCGGACACAATGGGCTGAATGGCTGCTTCCTGTGTTGTAAATTTCTATGGTTTCATGTCATTGTTTAGAAATATTCTTCAAATGGCGTTACAATGATATAGAACACAAAAGCCTACAGTCCCAAAATTGGCCATTTGGTCCATCAAGTCTCCAAATAGTCTCTAGCTAATGTCAAGAGTGCATTATAGTGCCTGATCATAAACACTGTGATCATGATCAAATATTACCTCTCTTGGAAATGGGGAAGATAATCATTATGGATTAAAACTCTTTTACCTCTGATACCAAATTTAAAGCCCATTTATACTAATGGCTTAGAAGTCTTCCCTTGTTGCAAGGGTTGGTTGAGGGCCGTCAGAACCTAGATTCTTCCAGGGTGCAGGTCCAGAGGACAAAATAGCCATAGTTCAGTATAAACGGCACATAATGAGTGTGGTGGTGAGAATTCATATGTAGTAGGCGTTCTTCCAATTAAATAGCTTGGACTTCATAAATGGCCCAAAATACCTTAACTTTGAAATATTTATCCAATACAACCATGCATTCTTTTCCATTCTAAAATCTCAGGTTTCTTTGGCTAAACTACTGATCAGATTTATCATTACATTCCACTGCTAATGTGCAAAAAGGATCTCTTAGTTATCTGACCTTCCAGCGTCCCTTTCCCTGCTCACACTTTATGAGAAATGGCAATGGAGTCAAAGTTAAGCAAACACATTTTACTTAACATTTAAGCAAACACATAAGTGCTCTGAGACACTATCCTGCGTGGAGGGTGCTATATAAATGCAAGTTGTTGTTGTATTTTAGTACCTATCTGAGGTAGGAACTTGGCAAATGCATTCCTAATAATCAAGCCAGACAAAATATGTGACATAATTCTCTAACTTTGACAATATTTGGGTAGGTTAGTTTGGGCTCTTGTCCTACACCATTTCTGAGACTGCCCATTGAGCACTATAAAGAGTATTTGTTGAAAGCAAACCACAAAGGTTTGGCCAGAGAAAATAAACAGAAATGAGTAAAAACTAAATTTAGAGACACAAAGAGGATAATCTCTACTCAGACTGAAAAAATGTTGTGAGCAAACAGCTGGGCAACACAATAAAGCAAAACTGTTAGAGCCAATCATAATAAAATGAGATACCATAAGAGGAAGGGAGGAGGGAATAGGTAATTCACTGGAAGAATGAGCTTCAGTGAAATGAATGGCCTTTTTTCTCTTCACTCGCTGCCTTTCCTTATGCACGCTCATTAATCACCTTGTAGTTAGTTTTACTGAACAGCAACATTAATTGACGACTCACGTCCTACGTTTCCAATGAGGGAAAGGCTGCAGCGTTAAAAGCAGTGGGGAAGAATAGTCTAAAATTAAATTGATCAAAATGTGAATCTGTTGCACCAATTTATTTTCAGAAAGCTTCCCCAGTAAATTTAATCAGAATTAATGGGGTTAGTCAATTTAAAAATGCTGGACAATCTGTTAAATACCGAGGAAATAATACAATGGAGCCCAGTTACAAGGTGGTAAGTTGGGGATCCGTAAATCCCAACACAACCTACAAGTAGGACACTGTAGACAGTCAGTTCTTATTTGGATTCACTGTGCATGCTTCTGCACTTACAAAAAAGTCTGACGTCTGGGACATTGCATTGCTCGCTGTGTCATTTCTTGCACACTGTGCAAGCGAAGTGACATCCGCGACCACATGATGACCCAAAGCTGGCTTTTTTTTAGCGCAAGAGCCAGGAGACCCATGGAAATGAGCCAGCCAGCTGCAGGCATATGCAGTAAATAGTGTTCACAATATATTATAAGCAAACTTGTGTTATGACAAAGCACATTATAACTGGGTTGCACTGTATTGTGGCTTCCTGAAATATGTTATCCAATGTGGCAAAAGAACAAAGCTATTCACTAAGTAAAAACAACTATCCCAGTGGACACGGTCACTAGAAGAACTATTAAAGACAGCTCATATCCATACAATTAAGATGTATTTTCTAGGACATTTCATGTTTTGTCATGTCAAATAATAAGAGAGCGCTAAATGGGGAAAAATAATGCAAAAAAAACTGAACAAGTAAATATAAGTCAGGATTTATTTTGGATCATAAAAAACTCAAGCGTTTTCTGTCCACGTCAAAGACAGTCAACTAAAGAATACCACAACATTTTTCACAACAAATCTTCTAAAAGCTCCTTCGCTCTCAAAGATTGATAGCAGGAAATGTAAACAAATCTGGCATCATATAATTACCTGGGTATCAAAAATGCAATCTGAAGAGGTTATGTGTTGAATCACACTGAGTCAACTGTGCAACACTGCAGGGTATGGAAGTCATTTGAGTGCAGCATTGGTACGTAAATTTCCGCACTGCAATGGATGAGCATCTCAATGCTGATAAAAGTCCAAAACGATTCAGACAATGAGTTATTTTTTTGAGAAAATTTATTTTTAGCCATTGACTTTCACATACAAACAGGATATTTACAGTGGAAATTAGTAATGCCTGACTTTAAATAGTCCCTAGCTTTAAGTAATAAAATAATCAACTTGTACTGTTCTCCCAAATGCCAAGTTTAAAGTTGTGTTATTGTATTCTGTATAGGATCATAGGGCTGGAAAAGACGATATACTGGTCAAAGCCATATGAAAATCAACTGGTCATTTATAAACAATACCATATTGAATGCACACACAATGCTGCACAATGACACAGACACAATAGCCAAGTGAGCAAGAGATGCTTTGGACAGATGGACGTTCACAGTTAGATGCCACAATAGACTGATTTTAGAACAGGAAGAACTCAAAACTGCTCACCTTTTCCTCCCCCTGGGTCAGATCCGCCTGTACAACAACAGTGCACAATTAATTGTTACCTCGGAGGTGTGCAATAAAACATGATGATGGCAATGGTATGAAATGCAACAGATGCCAGCACAAATCTAAGAAACTAACTCACTTACAGTTCTTGAAATGTATTCCTTAGATATTTCATGTATTTAGGATCTGTGATTGTTGATCTGATGCATGTACAGCCACAGATTTTCTCCTGTCCTCATCTTTAATAATTTCTACATAATTTTTTAAGAAATACAAATTTATTTATGGATCTGTCCAGACCTCTGCTCTTTTAAATACTGATGAAAATCAACACACACAGCATTGAGAGCACGAGATACTACTATAAACACACCTTTCTCTATATCACTGCTTGAGTTTACAGCAATGCACAATTCACATAAGGATTCACAGTATAAGAAATACAATAAATCTGCCTGTCTTCTCAACATCTACATACTTTAAAATCACCACTTTATCTGTTCTCTCCTCTTGTCAACCAAGGTGGTGCAATTCACTATTCACACAGGTCACTCAATAAAAATAGTCACATAATCCCTCAAAATAGTGCTCAACAGAATGTACCAGCTCACAATGCATTTAGTATTTATTTTGTTCAGCATTTATTATCCAAAATCAATAAGGCCAGCTGAGTGAAAGAGGCCACCCTGCTCCAAACCATTCTCTAAAATCTTAAGAGCTTTGGCCAGCTGCAGCCAGGCTATTACACTAATCGCACTAACACAAGTGCTGCTCCACTTTCACCTCAATATTAATCCAAAAAGTCTGGATGGATTATTAATTGCCCGTGGAAACATCTATATAATAATAATTCTTGCATTTGATATAGTACCTTATCCCTGTCTTCGAGACACCTTAAAGTGTTCACAGAACATACTGTTAAGTGAATTGACTGTATATTTTGTGGGCGAAATGCAGCAGCACACAGCAGTCCCACAAACAGTCATGGATTGAGTAAACAAACTATTAAAAAAAATTGAAGGGATTATTACCCCTGGAAAAGCTATCTGCCAATCAACTAACAACCATGTTCCTACTTACTGTAAGGTAAACAGGGCGTGTGGAGTAAGGAAACTTGCCCAACGTTTTGCCCTGCCGGGAATCGAAGCCAGGTACTCTCATTTGCGAGGCGAGCGCTCTAACCACAAAGCTACAGGTTTCTCAGACAGTGACATCATTTGGAACTTTACTCTATATATTGCACTGAATGTCTCCACACAAGAAACATGCATTACACTGGGTATAAACTCTGTTGACTTTCCTGTGCTCATAGAGTCAAGTTGAAATAGTCATTCAACTTGATGCTTTATAATGTAAAAAAAAGTTAATGGCATCAATCCAAAATTGCTTGTAACATTAATCTTATACTGCATCTTTCTCAATATTTGATCATAGGATTTATCTTGAGAGATTTGAGTGGTCTTATATGTGGGTGAAGGAAATTTCACTTCCCAAAATTCATACAGGTACATATTAATGCAATTTCTTATGTTCTTATAGGAAATAATATCGCGGGATACAGTATATAGATTGGGATGTGACATGTGCAGTCGAATGCCAGGATGGTCGGAGGCCAAAAGGATGGACCTTGGTCTTCTTTCGTCAAGCAAATCTTTTAAAATAAAATGTATTCTTATTTGTTTTTAAAAGTATTATTATAGTATAGATATTGAGATCCAATAGTTCCTGAATATTATTACTAAAGGGATTTTATCATTTTTCAAAAGGCAGCTTGACTTGTCTATCATTTTAAAACTCCTGTATGCAGGTAGTAAAATTCAAATGTAGGGGACTCACAGCATCATTGGCCATGAAGTCCTACAGGTTAGTGGTTAGAGCACTTGCCTCGCAAGCGTAAGGACTGGGATTTGATTCCTGGACAGGGCGAAATGTTGGGCAAGTTTCCTTACTCTACACGCCTTTGTTTACCTAGCAGTAAGTAAGAACCCGGTTGTCAGTCGATTGGCGGATCCCTTTTCCGGGGATAATAATGCCTTAAAAAAAGAATTTAGTCACTCAATCCACGATTGGTTGTGGGACACTGCTATGTGCAATTGGCTGCCATGTTTCGCCCACAAAATACACGTCAATTCACTCTACAGTATATTCTGTGAAGCACTTTGAAATGTCTCAAAGAAGTGATAAGGCACTATATCAAATGCAACTATTATTATTATATACTGTATTTTGTGAACCTATCACAAAACCAGATAAACTCTCCAGTTTAGTGACTCATTAAAAACAAAGTCACTGTCATATAGCATTACTGGTAAGTTACTAATGGTGGCTTGCTCACAGCTTCAGTTTACTCATTCTGCTGATTTTAAAAGCATTTTCTCTGACATTTACACCAGAGTGAGTCATGTAGCTAGAAGCTGAAAACTAACCAAATATATGATATTACAATTAATATCTACAATTTCCACTCCTTATAAATCAGCATAATCAATTCATGTGGGTAAGATCATGTATTTAAAAGCTCCCTGGGCCTGACGTTACTTAGGAATCTGAAATTGGTAGCTTTCTTGTTCTAAGCTGCGCTTTTCCACATGCCAATCACTCCCTTACCAAAATAAATGCATTTCCTGTTCTGTTTTGTTGCCCTTTTGAATATAATGGTTTTATTATAAAATATTCTTTAAAATTTGAATATAAGATGTTTTAAAAAGTCAGGAATTTTTATATTTATTTTGATATAGCGATTCGCCCACAAAATAGAGTCAATTTACTTTATAGTCTGTGAAGTGCTTTGAGACGTGTCGAAGACAGGATAAGGCGCTATATTAAAAGCAAGGATTATTATTATTAATAAAGAAGATTTTATGATAGGGCAGAGAACTGTCGAGCCTCACTTTGGAGGGGTCAGCAGTTCCATTAATTGAAGAAACTGAAATGTTGAGACCTTATTGTCAGGGTTAATGAGGTCATTGAAGGTAGAGCCTAGTTAAGAGAATAGGCGTCAGTACAGCAGGTGTGAGGGGAGCAACCACACTCAGGATACAGATAAATGCACTATATGGGAGTTCTGTTATTATTCATTTGATGGCAGTTATTCATATGCATGTCTAAAAAGCTCAATTTAATTTGAAAAAACATTTTGTCTCGTTTATTGATATTAAATATGTGTAAATTTGTATTGTGTTATGTACTTGTTCATGGCCACAAGCACCATCATCTCTAACATACTTGTATTGGAAATTTCTACACAATTCAAAAATGTATCACTCCAAGCCCTGCATAATTTTAAACATGACTGTTCTCTTCCTTCTCCCATCCCCCCACCCCCACAGTATACTAGCTCTGCGGAATTAATCTAGCAACCCAATTTTAATGATAAATAACTCTTGACTTCTAAGTCATCCCCTTAGCTAAACATCACAACAACGTATTTGCCTTCTTAACTCTATGAGCACACTGACCACTTCACCAAAACTCAAAAGATCTTTCTTGTTCTGATATTTCAAGTGTATTTCCATTCTGCGTATTTTTCTGCCCAATCTCAAAGCTGCGTCCTCTAAATCATTCCTGAAGTATATGAATAAATATCAAAAACCCGAAAATCTCTGTATAATTCCACTGGACACAGTTCCCAAGTCAGAGCTAATTCCATTTACAGTATCATCATTTGCTCCCGATTGCAAAGTCATAGATCAATCTAAAGAGCTAATTTGCAATCAATTCCATCAGTAATAACTTTGTTTAAGCCTTCACTCTTCAGTTATTAAATGAAACTCACCTTGCTTCTAATGGAATCCATAGACAGGAACACAAATTGAAGTTTGCTTTCGAACTAGAACACAAATTTTCAGCAGAGGAAACTAATCAACTCATCGTGACTCTACTTACTGCTGCTATTCAGTAAACAATTTTTTTTTGCCCCTTTCCTCTTCACAACACTGAGTTATTCCTATAGCTTTCCAAGACAGAACATTTCACATCTTAGAACATTTGATCCATTGGTCTTCTAATCCTATTACCCTCTTTTTATTGGACTTAATACTCTTACTTCCTATCTATATTCCTATCTATATCCCTCAAAGACTTAAAATTACTTTTGCACCTATGGGCTTCTATAGTCGTGCATTCCAAGCTTCTTGGTGTAAAGAAATATTTTCTGGACTCACATTGAGCTGGCTTTACTGTAACTAAGTTCATGCCCATCATTCCCAGGCAACGCTCAAGCCTACTAGTCCCACCATTGTGATTTGTAAGCATTCCTCAAATTCCTCATAAGGAGGCTACATTTTAATTGTACTTTTTATAATTTACAATTACAACCTCCTATAAAGCTCCGACAACCTCCTATAAAGTATTTGCACTTTTCTATGAGAACAGAAAAGGCCGTCTAAAGGATTTAGGGAGGCCTATCGCATGTTGGACAGAATCTGAAGCACAGTATACTTACGCAATATTAAATGAGCTTTCTGTAGGATGGGTTTAACTGTTAAAGAAATTTAGGGTCATAATGTCTGATTTACAAAGTGGAAGCATCTCTGCAAATGGTAATGATAATACATTTTTACTAAGGGTATAATACTTTTTGGCATTTTGTTACAGCAATGGCACTCATTGGATACCCACACACAATCTTGTAGAGTACTGCACTCTCTTTAGAGAACTCAAAACATAAAAGAAAGGCCATTTTCTTTATTTTTAAAATATTTTAATAATAATTTATTTGGTGTACCATATAGAACATCTAAACATCTGCCAACCCTTCCCAGGTAATTATTGTCAGGTGTAGTGACTGTGTAGCCACTTTGCAAACAGCAAAATCTCATAAAATGGGGATAAAGTGAATGATGAATTTATTTGAAGGATCATTTATATCATACTTCAACTGAATGAATCAACAGCTCCAGAAAACTATACAACCAGCCCTGACAAGACATCACATTTTCGGTTAGCCAAATATCTGACATGTGGAAACTTATTGCCATCCCTAAAATTATCCATACGAAGCAGAATTCCATGCATGCACCTACACATGGAAATTCCCATGTTTATAATGGAATGCACATTCTCTCTCTGGAGGGACACTCCTCCTTCTGGAGAGTATTAGGCACAGGATGGTAAGAGCTTAGGCTTGGGACACCACTGGGTACTGGTGTAGTTTAACCAGCTAACACTGCTTAGTTTGTCACTGAAATCATGGTCTTCTCAATTTTCCCACTGCTTATTTAGCTAGGACTACCATGTAAGTGTTTCACTTGCAGGGATAACAGGATTTGAATGGGATTCAAACTAGTTACTTCAGAAGAATAAGATTCTACACAAAATCAAAAGACCAGTGATTATGGAGTTATCTTCCATTATAATCTTAAAGTAATAACAATAATAATCCTTGCATTTGATATAGCGCCTTATTACTTTTTCGAGATGTCTCCAAGCGCTTCACAGGATACATTGTAAAGTGAATCGACTGTGTATTCTGTGGGCGAAACGCAGCATCCAATTGTGCACAGAAGTGTCCCACAAACAATTGTGGATTGAGTGAGTGTCCAAATTATTACTTCTTTTAAAAAAAAGGGATTATACCCCCGGAAAAGCGATCTGTCAATCGACTAACAAACAGGTTCCTACTGGCTGCTAGGTAAACAGAGGTGTATATGTGTGTGGAGTAAGGAAACTATCAAACAACTGAATTTGAATCGTGAACCTTGTTCACCTAAATTGTCCCATACGCACGAGTGTTTGTTTAGTAAGCCCAACGTTTCGCCCCGACCGGGAATCAAACCCGGGTCCTCTCGCATGTGAGGCGAGCGCTCTAAACACTATACTACAGGACTCCAGATTTGGACGCTTAAAAAGTATTCACACACGCGCGCACGCATGGGACAATTTAGGTGAACAAGGTTCATGATTTATATTCAGTTGTTTGATACTAGGCGTTGCAGTCTCAAATTGTGAATATGTGTCTCAATCGGTAGGGAGAAGATGCTTGTGAGAGTAATTCTTCATATGATGAACTCCCATTCTCAACCTTGCCATCTATTTCCCAATAGAGAAAAACGGTTATTCAGGCTGCTTTTGGCTGCAACTCAACATAGGCAGACACTAACTACTGTGCTGTTCAGTCATCTTGAGAAGAGGTACATTGGGGTGTGGAAGGGAAAGAAGGATTTATCAAGAGGAGAAACTAAAAGTAAAATAAGCATAAAGTTGAATCAAGAGATTGAATACAATAAACGGTCCTGGCATCAGTACCCCACATCTCACTGTCATAACACTTCCCTTTGTTGAAGCTTTCTTGCAGCTTTGACAACAAAACTAGACCAAACAACAGCTTTAAATGATAATGGTAACTGTGTAATGGAAATAAATGAAGCCCAGTTCATGAGAAATGGAAGTAAGGGAAACTGTTACATTGCCTAATATACAAATTCTTACCTGTGCCTGCAGTTTTGCCATCTGTAAAAAAAGAGATGTTATTAATAATTGAAATACCTGCTGCCAGTACAAGAAAAGTTAGTTCATCTTTTCAATTAATAATCGCTGCATCCCAACCCTAATTATTTGTCTGAAATTGCCAATTACAGCAATGACATAGCTGGATACAGAGGGAAGTTTACCAGATGGTGTGTTCAATGGTTAGCTCCATGGTTTTAGTTGGTCACACACACTCTGGGTCCCCAAGCCATAGTTCTTACCAAACCGTACTTGATATGTTTCGGGATTCGAGAAGCAGTATATGCCATTTCAGATAAAGGGAAATTTCCATGCATATGTGGAATCCTGTCTGGTTTTGGTACTCTTAAGCATGACAATGGGTTTCTGCATAGATCAAATGTCCAACTGCCAAACACTTATATAGTGCCTTCCTCACTTAAACCTTATGTGCTTGACAAATATGGTGACAGACACTGAACAGAAAAATAAGGTTTAAAGATGTTGGTCATGAGATACATTTTTGGAAAACGAAATGGTTTTCAAAGAGATTTCCAGAAGGTAACAACAACAACAACTTGGATTTATATAGTGCCCTCCACGCCGGACGGCGTCTCAGAGTGCTTTACAGTGACGGATCCTGGGCCGAGTCAGGGGGAAGGGGAGGAAGGTGACCAAAGGCACGGTCGAAAAGAAAGGTCTTCAGCAGAGAAGATGTCTAAAGACTTGGGTGACTGATAGTGGAGCATAGAGAGGAACAATCAATAGACAAGAATCATAAGTGTGGAAAGTACTACAATACCTGGAAACTAATGTATATATAGGATGGTAAACAATGGAGGAATTTGAGTCCCATAGCACAGTGACTGGCAAGCGAGAGGAACCGGGTTTGATTCCCGGGCAGTGCAAAATCGTTCTCAAGCTTCCGTATTCCACACGCTTCTGCTTAACTAGCAGTAAGTAGGAACCCGGTTGTTAGTCGAAAGTCGGATCACTTTCTGGGGGTAATCTCTCCCCCAAAAAATAAATGAATAAAAATTGGTCACTCAATTCACAACTGTTTGTGGAACACTTCTGTGGCCATTGGTTACCATACTTAGCCCATAAAAAATACAGTCAATTCACTTTACCAATATATTCTATGAAGTGCTGTATCAAATGCAAGGATGATTCTTATTAATTTTATCTTAAACTCAATCTTTTGGGGGGCTGTGGCCAACTTGGCAAGAAATGAGGCAATAGTGTGCAAAGAGAGAGGAAAGATTTGGGCTGCAGAATTCTGGAACGCTTCAAGCTTCTCGAGAATGGAACTTCTGAGCTTTGGATAAATGTCACGTGTGGCAACAAAGGCAATGAATCACTATTATTTTGCTACTTGCCTGCAAACTATTTTGATGTTTGGGTGCTGTGCAACATTACCTCCAAGTAACTAACATCTGTGCTCTAAATGTTTTGTCTAATTTATACAAGGTCAAGAACAATGAATTAATTTCTCTCAGGGGTTTACATATTTGTGAAATGCACATAGCAGATGCAAAGTAACAGATTTTATTAGTGTATCGAAAGCAACTTATCTCTGCTATAATGCAAGAAAATCATTAGTTTACCTACTCAGTGGCTCTAATGCCCGTTCTAAAATGTGAAATGTTCAAACCACACACATACTACAATGCAAGCTAACTCTTAAAAAAATATATAAATGAAATCTCCAGGTCCATTTCCTTATTATGGCCTTGACAATTTTTCAACTAATATTTGAATTTAAGCATTCCCATCTTTAAAGACCTTTGCATCTGTGCTTCTATAGTTCTCTGCTAAACCACTTCATTGAGAAAGTCACCCTTTTCCTTTTCCTTCCTCCCAAACGATAATAGTGAGCCACATACACCCAAATAATTCGAACCAGCACCTTTGCTAATTTGAAAACAATACAGATAGTAGGTCTTTGAGTGCGTGAGTGACAATGAGTGATTGAGAGTTTCTGCCTTTCCGTGAGCTTGGGTGCATCTCTCTCTCTATTCACAACAACAACAAAGTTACATTTGTATTGCGTCTTTCATATCGGGAGGACGTCCCAAGGCACTGGACAATCAGTGTTTCAGACCCGAGCTGGGGGTAGGGATTGCGGAGGGTGCGGGTAGAAGAGGGTGACCATAGGCACGGTCGAAGAGGAGGGTCTTGAGATGAGTCACGAAGGAGGCAAGGGATGGGGCGAGGCGTAGGGACTGCGTGATTGAGTTCCAGAAGGTGGGGACCTGTCCAGCACATGCTGCTCTAGTAAAATTGTGAACCAGATTATCTCATACACACATGTAACTAAATAATTTTGTCAATATCGCAGCCAGACTTTATTGATGAGGATGAGTGAGCAGTACTTCAGAATTCTCCAAGCTGAATTCCACCTGGCCACCCCATTCCACTAATCTGTCTTGTCTTCTGTAAGCTTCTGCTGCCTTCGACTATTTGATCTTTCTGTTGCCTTTGACACCGCTGACTACGCCATCCTCATCCATCACCTCTTCTCTCACCTCAACCTTCATGGCTCTGTCCTTGACTGGTTCAGATCGTACCTCTCACATTGCCTCCACTTCATCTCCACAAATGGCTTCTCCTCTAGCACCCGCACAGTCCTTAGGGATCTATCTTTGGTCCCCTCCACTTCAATATGTATATGCTCCCTCTTGGTGACATCATCCGCAGACATGGGGTCAACTTCCACATGTATGCAGATGACACCCAACCCTATCTCTCTGCCTCCACCCTTGACTCCAGGACCGCTGCTGTCCTGATAGAATGTCTGTCAGACATCAAGTCCTGGATGAGAGCTAACTTTCTTCAGTTAAACGTCAACAAGACCGAGGCTCTCCTGATTTGCTCCCGTCAGCACCTCCTCACCTCAGGCGCTGACAGTATCATCATCATCTGTGCCATGACGTGCTCAGCCTTCCCCGACCTCAACAACATCGCCCGGCTCCGCCGCTATTTCACATCACAGGCCGCCGAAACCCTCATACGCAAATTCATTGCATTGAGGCTTGACTATGCAAACTCCTTGCTTATCGGCCTCCCCAACTCCTCCCTCCATACACTACAGATCATCCAGAACTCTGCAGCCCGAGTTCTCTCCCACACCAGGCTCTGTGACCCTATCACCCCCATCCTCGCCCGACTCCATTGGCTTCCCATCACACAGAGGATACAGTTCAAGATCCTGGTCCTCACCTTCAAAGCCCTGCATGGTCTTGCTCCCCCCTACCTCTGCGAACTCCTAACGCCTACCATCCTGCCCGCTCTCTCCTCTCAGCGGTCTCCAGCCTGCTTCACGTCCCACCAATGGCGGGAGGGCCTTCTGCTACTCTGCCCCCACCAACTCCATCCTACAGTCCCTCTGCCTCGCCACCTCCCTTGCCTCCTTCAAGACCCATCTCAAGACCCACCTTTTCGACTGTGCTTTCGATCACCCTGCTTCCCCCCCGCCCTCCACCCTACCCAATCCCGATCCCCAGCTGAAACTCTTGACTGTACAGCGCCTTGCGACGTCCTCCCGATGTGAAAGGTGCTATACAAATGTAATTTTGTTGTTGTGCTTTTGTCCATAACTTACCAATAGAAACAAGAAGAATTCAGAATCATTTTACTGCAGTATAAATACCATAATTTTCTATCACCAACTGATTATAGATATCATGCTCCCAAAACCCAACTCCAATCACTGAACTTGACAATAATAATATAGTACAATATATGGAGACATTTCAACATAAGATTCTATAAAATGTAAGTCCTTTCTTTGAAGAATGCGTGTGGAAACCAAAGAAAATGCACGGGCCTTAGAATGCCCTCCCACATGAAAGTCGCTAATCCAATATAATTTTTTTGTTGTTGTAGTCCATGATAAGGAAAAAAGGGGGAAAAGAGCATCTATGAGCATCTATGATATTCTGTTCCATCTCACCCTTCAATTCATAAAAATCAGATGATATGCTTAAATTCAAATACTAGAAGATCCCGACAAGAAAAATGTTGTTAAGAGAAATGATATGCAAAAATATTTTATAATTTTATAATAAGCGATTTAATGAAGTTTTCAAATGACAGCTCATTTTTAAAATATCAATTTTCTGGTTTCTTAAATACGAATGCTACAATTCCCACTTACCAAAATAGTCAGTTAATTAAAACACTGCATAGCCACAAGAGGATTTACTATTGAAAATCTCTATTGAAAAGTGACTCAAAAGAATGGGTCAGGGTGAAATTTTCTTTACCTGTTGTGAGGATAGTCGTCTCAGCTGAGGAGTCATTTGCTTTGCCTTGTGCTGTTGTAAATGGCTTGACTGTTGTATTAGAAATAATCACTTCTTGATGAGCTAGTGTTGTTCCTGTAGTTACAGCTGTAGTCGAAGTCCCATTGACTGCATTGGTTGTATTCGACATTTGTGAATCCTCTTCAGTTACATTCAAGGGCAGTCCTGGGCTGGTAGTTGTCTGGATTGTGGAGTTTTCTCCTTGTTTACTTGTGTTGGAGGGGACGGTGGCAAAAACTAAAATTGAAAAGTAAAGCACAAACTGAAACTACCTAAGTGGATGTGTAAAAAGTAAATTTTCACGTGAATGAAAAATGAGCAACAAATTAAATAAGAGTGCACAATAGAAAATGTTTTTCGTATCCCACACCTATTAACTATTGCAAACTAAGTTTAATTGTTCTACTATACCAGAGAGAACAAAGAAGACAAAACCATAACATATTTTATAATCCACCCAATCTATTTCAAATAATGGAGCAGTTCATTCCATATTGGCATAACTAGGAACCCATTATGTTATTAGCAGTAAGTAGGAACCTAGTTGTTAGTACTGGACACCAATTTCAGTGCTGATCAGTTATAACGCATTGCTTTACAGTATGATTTGGGTTTTTAAGATGATTGCAATATGAACCTTACTCAATACCCATGAGCGCAACTGGCCTGCTGGCTTTCTCACACCAGCCAGTCCTTGCACTAAAATGGGTTATTTGATCATCACCAATGTCACATCATGTCTGCTGCGTAAACGTAAGAAGCGACATTTGCAGAGATTTGATGACTGTGAAGTTGCCATTGCTTAGCATGGTAACTCAGAGGGCATGGGCAATGAGCCAGCTGGCTATGTTAATACAAGGGTTGGGATTTTATAGATCCTAACCACCACATCACTATTGTATAAAAATGAATTACACTCTTCTAATTCCCATCCCATACTAAAAGGGACAGTGAGAGTAAGTGATATATGTCAAAACTTTTTTTATTATACACTGAATGTAGTAATTTGTAAAATTAATACAGGTGAATGAATTTAAGATGATATTGGCTGGAAGCTCATATTAGCATCCTTCACTTACCTGTTGCTTTGTTTGCTGTGAGACATATCAAACAACTGCTTACTAGTAAAAGCAGAAACCAGGTATCCATGGCAATGCTGAAAATAAAAGTGGAAATTCATCACCTTTTCATACCGAAACATACTTTGCCATAATATCTATAACTACCATTCATCATTAAGAATAAACAGCAATACGCATATACAAGTATTGATATTAAGATTTTTCCTAAAATTAAGAGACTCAGTTCACATTGAATAAAAAAATTAATGAAAATCCCAGATGTAATGTTTCTTATGGAAATTATCAGCTCATGCAAGTGACTGAATTAAGAAGAGGCATTTTTTTGGGACATATCGTTTACATCAACAACTTGTATTTATATAAAGCCCTTCACGAGGGGTGGCGTCTTGGAGCACTTAACGTTAATTGAGCTTGACACCGAGCCGGGGAAAGAGGTTAGGAAACTGTAGGCACGTTCGAAGAGGAAGATCTTTTAATGCATGACTGGTTTGCAATACAACACCAGTTTGCCTTTCCTACATATCTCCTTCTATCATTCAACTATTAAAAAGTGTGTTTTACTGCCACAGCTGATGGTCTCACTTTTAATGCTCTCTTTCTGTCCCACCTCCTCACTCGTTTCTCACCTCACAGCGCCTTGGGACGTCCTCCCGACTTGAAAGGCGCTCAATAAATGGAATCTTGTTGTTGTTGTTGTTGCTAACTCTAGAGATTGTGAGTGCTGTAATATATCTAGTCCTGGTGACAAAATACAGAAGCTCAAGTCTTGAAAGGCCAGAGGCGAGAGTGCTAACCACTGCACCAGGCTGACACACAGACCAGTTTATTTGCAGTATTGTTTATCATGATACTGAACTGTTCAATTTCAGCAACAAACTAACAGAAATTGTGCACCTATATCTGAAGGTTTTTAAAAATATAACCCAGTACTACAGGTAGCTTTCCTTGGCTTAAGAAAAACACTTCAGAAACTATTTAGATTCAATCTGGTATTGTACATTAGTCAATAAGGGTCCATTTTGAATAGTATAGTCGGTCGTACTCGTCTCCTTAACATTAGAAAAAGACATATGTGCTGACAAGTAGAGCTTTGCTTAGTTGCTTAGTTGCTACTAAAAGCGAGGGTGAGCGGGCAAGTATAAATTATGTTTACCACTTCATAAAGCTCTATTCTCAGATAAAAAGTGACAAAGACAAATTAAAGGAAGGGGCAAAATATGTTCAGAAAGGCCACAATGACGTAAGATGGTCAAAGCTGACATCTTTAGCTACATATAATGTACTAGGTTACGCGTGGATTATGTAACTGATTGCTGTTCGGAACTTTCCACGTTCCTTATCCAAATATTGACAGAAGATTAATTGAATTTGCCTAAGCAAATCTGGTCACACCAGACACCTGAGATCTGGGTTGATATGAAATTTTAATACTGCAGCCTGGTGGAAATTTTTACATTGAGAAAGCTAAATTTGCAAATAGATTGGTCATCCAAGATGTGATAAGGTGCTACATCAAATGCAAGGATTATTATTATTCACTTTTTGGCTGCTTGTAGGACCTTGCTTTGCGCTAATGTGAAGCTCCTGTTAACCCTGCAAGCCAAAGCTCTAACAGGTAGGGTGGTCCTAATAGGACAAGTAGTGAGAAGCTTATCAGAAAGTGCTCCTAATGGCAAACTATACTGTTTCAGCTGGTTGAGCTCCAACACTCACTTTGGGGTCTCCAAACCTTGTTTCTTACCAACCCATGCTTAATACAACAACAACTTGGATTTACATAGCTTCCTCCATGCCGGACGGCGTCTCAGAGCACTTCAGTGACGGATCCCGGGGCCGAGCCAGGGGGAGGGGGAGGAAGGTGACCAAAGGCGCGGTTGAAAGAAAGGTCTTTAGCCGAGGCCTGAAAATAGGAAGAGAGGGGGCGAGGCAACGGGAGTGAGGAAGGGAGTCCCAGAGCTTCAGAGCAAAATGATTTTATACGCACTATACAGAAGGAATGATCCTACTAAAACAAACAGCAGCAACAAATGTACATCTATATAGCATCTTTCTCGTCGTGAGGCACTGCACGGTCCTGGCTTTGCTATAATTCCCAGGAAATTCTCTGAAACACAGGAGACCTTTCGAACAACTTGATAAACCGCTATATCAAATACAAGCATTATTATTCTACATGAGTATGGAGACACCCATTATCCCTCTATTGCAGGTCTCCAAGCTGTCAGACAAGTCACTTTCTACAGTATGTAGGTGGGCTGGGGGTAGGGAGTATCACAATAAGGTGCATATAACTTTTTAAATGTTTGCTATGCACGCTTTGAGATGTATTAAATCTTGTTTATAATGAACTGAATATACTACAGTCAGCAAATTTAATGTTCAAATCTATTTGCTTCACAGCTGAACACAATACTTCCCTTATGATAAAATAAAATGACTACGTATAGATATTAAAATATCTGAACCTATTAATTAACGGAGTCACAACAGAACCATGGAGTTATCCTTGGAAGTAATTTATTACTGTTATAAATAACGGGATGGGTTGCAGTTGGATTCTTGATATCTGTAACACTTCAATACTGGATTCTCTTTTGCTGCAGCTGCATTTTAGTGCTACTTAAAGAGCACAAAAGGTCTGAGTTGCTGATAGGTTACAGCAGGAACAAATTAAATAAACAAATACATTAGTTGTACTTGTTAAAGCAATTTACCAATGCAAAATATCACAAAGTGTTTCATTCAAGGAGTTACTTTGAAGTGCTTCACAAACAGCATTGAGATGAATGACCAAAAGGTATAATTTTTTCTGTGAATTAGTCTGAGGTAAGAATATTAGTCTGCCGACGAGAAGCACTCCCAAATCGTGCTACAAGGCCTTTAATGTTTGATAGAACTGGTAGATAAATCCGTGGTTTAAACAGCTAATATACAACAAAAAACAACTTACACTTGACGTCGGGGGGATGTCCCAAGTTGATGAACAATCAAGGATTTGAACCCGAGCTGGGGGTTGGGAACAGGAGGGTGGGGGATGGTGTGACCGAAGGTTCGGTCAAAGAGAAGTCTTGAGACAGGCCTTGAAGGAGGCAAGGGAGGGGGCGAAGGGAAGGTTCTATGGGATGGGTTTCCAAAAGGTGGGGGTAGAAAGGCAGATGGCCGACCGCCAACGGTGCGGCGGACAGGGCAATAGGTATTAAAGATTAATACCTCCAATACATCACTCTCAATACTTGACCCTGGAATGTTTTGACCCAGAGGTGAAAGTGCTACCAAATGAGCGAAAATGACAGAACAGATGGTTGCAATAAGTGTGAGAGTGGATCAAACATACTGCCTTGCCGGTAATTGCAAATAGCAGATGCAATCCCCATGGAATGAATCTTTTTCACACGGTTACTTGTTTCCCCTTTGAGCTCTATGGAAAATTCCTTAACAGATTTTTAAGAACGAATTTGAGAAAAACATAATGAAGAAACCAAAAGATAACCACAATATTGACCGCTTTGGGCAAGTATTAATTAACCCAGAATAGTGTTTATTTATAAATGGCAGCTTATATTTGACTATTTTGTTTTACCCAGTGAGTTATTACAATCTGGAATGCACTGTCTGAAAGGGTGGTGGAAGCAGATTCAATAGTAGCTTTCAAAAGGGAATTTGATATGTATTTGAAAAGGAAAAAATTGCATGGCTACGGGGCAAGAGCATGGCAGCAGGACAAGTTAGATAGTTCTTTCAAAGAGCCAGCACAGGCAAAATAGGCAGAATGGCCTCCTTCTGTGCTGTAAGATTCTATGATTCTATCATTTGGTTTAACTTTTGAGCAGTGTATGAAGCCAGGGAAATCCGATGGGATTTCTAAACAGAAAGTAACAGAAATCAAGTACATTAAAAAAATTCAAAAACAACTTAATTTAAAACATTAGATTGTTGATATGGGCATAATACCAACAAGGATCTAATCTTGAGTTCTGGGAAATCAAACTAACAGCTGGGTGGGAACCACAACCCCAGACACAAGTGGAAAAGGCTATAGACAACAACAACTTGCCTTTGCAATGTCAAATCCCTTTTGCTTTCCCTTCCCCCCTTCCATAATGATTTAAACTTCCAGGCTAAAGCAGATTTTCCTTCAAACAGTTGATGAGGAAATTCTGAGGTTCAGCGTGACAGCTGCTGCGAGATGCTTCCTGGAATCCAAGTTCAGGAACACATGCTCATATATCCAAGGTATTATAACTGCAGACCACTTGAGGCAGACATACAATGGCACACATTGAGACAGGCTTGGTTCACTTCATTCACACAAATGGAAAATCTCAGAAGCCTACAGTCCAAACACTACCTCTAACAGTCCGGAAATATGCAAGCAGCTTGTTCATTGTTGCTTGAAGGAGTATGGGGTTAAGGTGGGGAAATAGGATTGAATGGACAGCTTGCTCCAAGTGTCGGGTACAAACTCTGGGCCAAATGTGCTCCTCATGCTCTGTAAATTTCTGCACTTCTAATCGCTCTCACTCAAATAAGACCCCAGCATCATTCTGTGCATTCTCTATAACAAAGAATACATACACATCAAAAACAATTTACATTCATATAATGCCTCTCATGCGGGGTAGTATCTCAAAGCGCTTAAACTGACACCAAAAGTACTTTATTCAAAAGTACTCACACTAATATATTTTTATAAATCATTGCTATCAACTGATAACAAAACATCTGCAGCATTATACAGGGAACAGAAACTGTGAATAAAAATACTGTCCAAACAATAAATTATTGCATTTCACATATAGTGCCTATAATGTCAAAACTTAAAGCACTACAAAGGTTTCTCGACTTCTCAAAGCACTTTCTGTGAAGTGACTGTGTAGACAAACACAGCAACCAATTTTTGCAAGTGCTTTCCAGTAATGCATTCAGAATGTCAGGCCAAAGTCAGCCCTGTGAACTCAATATCCCAATGAGGGCCTTGAACCCACAATCTTCTGATTCAGATGTAAGAGTTCTATTAGCTGAGTCCGGTTAACACAAAATAACACATAACCATACCAGATATGATGTATTCTCA